CATTTCGCCACAGCAAGATGAGTCATGGGTGCATTTGTATGATCATATCTCTCATAAAAATGACAAGTCAATATGTCTACTCTACAAATCTATAACATAAATATTAAAAGAATTAAAAGAAAAAAAAAATAGATCACGGAATTATCAAACTGAAACGAAAGTATGAAAAACATTTTATAACGAAAGCTAAATTTTAAAAAAAAATGTTTTGATACGTGCATCAAATTTTACAAGTGACACAGAGCGGAAACTATTGGGGGGGGGGGGTGACATGGGTGATAACCCCTGTAGAAGGGCGGCAAAAAACACAGGGTGCCATTTTTAACGAAATATAAATATGTTGTCGTTTTCTAGTAAAAAAAACCCAGTGATAAACAATGAATCCGTACAAACCAAGAGCTATACCAATTGTACAAAGACCCACTCATAGTCGCAACAATAAAAAAGGAAGACTGCGGTGGGCAGGACATATTGAAAGGATGCCGGAGTGTAGAGCAGCAAAAGTGATAGACAGGCAGAAGTGATAGACAGGCAGAAGTGATAGACGAGGCAGAAGTGATAGACAGGCAGAAGTGATAGACAGGCAGAAGTGATAGACTGACTCACCGGTCGTCCAAGACTGAGATGGATCGACGATGTAGAGAAGGACTTACACCAGTTGGGGTTCGTGCATGGAGGCGGAAAGCCATGGATTGATCCGAATGGAAGAATGTGATGGAGCAGGCCAGGGCCCTACATGGGCTGTAGCGCCACTGGTGCTGATGACTTTAGTATAAAAAAAATGTGTTGTTGTTCGTCCTGCGCATGCACATTGACCAAAGCTATATTCGACGGTGAGTAGTATACAGGTGGCCTGCGTGTCCTAATTTGTGCCTGGAAAGCTCTCCTTTATGCAGGACACGTGTATTGTGGGCTCCTAGTGGTACGGGAGGTGTTTTTTTTTTCCTTTCCCTGCTTGTCTCTCCGTAAAATTTTGACGCAACCTTGTTTGATACCACTAGACACAGGGAATGGTTGAGACATCTCTCCATTTTCGCGGACAATACCCTGCACACGATCCTGGAATTGGCGCACCGTCGAAATGAACTAAATAACGATCGTAAGGTTGGTTTACCGAGGGGAAGCTCTCCATTAGAAAGCTCATTAGCCCTTCAAAGAATTGTCTACAAATTCATGGACATCGACTTGAACTTGCGGGAACCACTTTGGAAAGCACAACCTGGTGAGACAGTTTCACAGTCAGAGATAAAACGTAGCCCTCAAAGTCAAAAGGGGGACTTTCCTGTATACTGAGGAGTGGCACTTTCGGTCAAATTCAGAGGTTTTTTTTTTTTTTCGCGAAGGGTAGTTGCATAAATCAGCCCTTCCCCGGGGTGCCAATAACCCAGGCCACGCCACATTGTCCGCTGATACGCGTGTGATCTATTTCCGAATGATTTAGCTTGGACGCAGCGTATTACAGGACGTAAGACAGGTGAATGAGAACAAGAGAGAGAGAGGGAGAGGTGGGGGAGAGAGAGATTGAGAGAGAGTAAATTAATTCAATGCAGTTTAAAGTCCAGCATGCTAATTAAGAAAGACGCAGGAAAGAATAGTTAAGAATAACTAAATCCTTATTTTAAATATGAATTTTATTTATGGTAATATTTTTTTTTTTAATCTTCCCTTTTAGCTTAAAAATATGGAAATTCTTCTTTAAACTTACAAACACAGAAGTTTTTCTTTAAGCTTACAAATACAGAACTTCCTCTTCAAGCTTAGAAACACAGAACTTCTTCTTTAAGCTTAAAAACACAGAACTTCTTCTTTAAGCTTACAAACACAGAACTTCTTCTTTAACTTAAAAACACGGAACTTCTTCTTTAAGCTTACAAACACAGAACTTCTTCATTAAGCTTACAAACACAGAACTTCTTCTTTAAGCTTAAAAACATAGAACTTCTTCTTTAAGCTTAAAAACACAGAACTTCTTCTTTAAGCTTACAAATACAGAACTTCTTCTTTAAGCTTGCAAACACAGAACTTCTTCTTTAAGCTTACAAACACAGAACTTCTTCTTTAAGCTTACAAATACAGAACCTCTTCTTTAAGCTAAAAAACACGAAACTTCTTCTTTAAGCTTAATAACACAGAACTTCTTCTTTAAGCTTAAAAACACAGAACTTCTTCTTTAAGCTTAAAAACACAGATCTTCTTCTTTAAGCTTACAAACACAGAACTTCTTCTTTAAGTTTACAAACACAGAACTTCTTCTTTAAGCGTACAAACACAGAACTCCTTCTTTAAGCTTAAAAACACAGAACATCTTCTTTAAGCTTTAAAAAACATAGAACTTTTTGTTAAAGATTACAAACACAGAACTTCTTCTTTAAGCTTACAAACACAGAACTTCTTCTTTAAGCTTAAAAACACGGAACTTCTTCTTTAAGCTTACAAACACAGAACTTCTTCTTGAAGATTACAAATACAGAACTTCTTCTTTAAGCTTAAAAACACGGAACTTCCTCTTTAAGTTTACAAACACAGAACTTCTTCTTTAAGCGTACAAACACAGAACTCCTTCTTTAAGCTTAAAAACACGGAACTTCTTCTTTAAGTTTACAAACACAGAACTTCTTCTTTAAGCTTCAAAACACAAAATTTCTTCTTTTAGCTTAAAAACACGGAACATCTTCTTTAAGCTTTAAAAAACATAGAACTTTTTGTTAAAGATTACAAACACAGAACTTCTTCTTTAAGCTTACAAACACAGAACTTCTTCTTTAAGCTTAAAAACACGGAACTTCTTCTTTAAGCTTAAAAACACAGACTTTCTTCTTTAAGCTTAAAAACACAGATCTTCTTCTTTAAGCTTACAAACACAGAACTTCTTCTTTAAGCTTAAAAACACGGAACTTCTTCTTTAAACTTTCAAACACAGAACTTCTTCTTTAAGCTTAAAAACACGGAACTTCTTCTTGTGAGCTTACAAATACAGAACGTATTCTTCAAGCTTAAAAACACGGAGCTTCTTCTTTAAGCTTACAAACGACAGAAATTCTTCTTTAAGCTTAAAAAACGGAACTTCTTCTTTAAGCTTACAAACACAGAACTTTTTCTTTAAGCTTACAAATACAGAACTTCTTCTTTAAGCTTACAAACACAGAACTTCTTCTTTAAGCTTACAAACACAGAACTTCTTCTCTAAGCTTACAAACACAGGACTTCTTCTTTAAGCTTAAAAACACAGAACTTCTTCTTTAAGCTTACAAACACAGAACTTCTTCATTAAGCTTACAAACACAGAACTTCTTCTTTAAGCTTACAAATACGTAACTTCTTCTTTAAGCTAAAAAAAACTGAACTTCTTCGTTAAGCTCAAAAAAACGGAACTTCTTTAAGCTTACAGACACCGAACTTCTTCTTTAAGCTTACAAACACAGAACTTCTTTTTTAAGCTTACTAACACAGAACTTCTTCTTTAAGCTTACAAACACAGGAATTCTTCTAGAAGCATCGCTGCCTCGGAATCATACTGACACACGCAATAAAAGTGGTCAAAGTATATTTTATTTACAGACTCCTGAATGATCTCCCCTGAAAATGCCTGCCATATTACTGCGTGTTTGCATGTGTGTGAAAGACAAGACGCCCACAAAGTTCTGATTAGCCGGTTATCGTGACGTCCTGTTGCAGTTAAGTTATCAAGTGTAATTGCCTGGCCTGCCAACCTCTCAAGGTCCCCCTAATTAAGAGAGTTTCCTCTGGACAAACCAGTGAATGTGAAAGATGTGTACATCGAATTATAGAATATGAATTAAACACAGGACTTATGTACGATTAGCTACACACACACACAGATAAAAAAATGAATAAATGCTGCCATCTTACACACAATGCTTCATATTAATATTATGACGGAATTATCCTTTATATAAAAAAGTATGTGTATCATTCAAAGACTTGCAAAATGTTATTCAAGTTGACCTACCCTATGATACGTCATAAGACATTCCCAAACCCCCCCCCCCAACCCCCAGGTGTCACTTCTCAACATAAATATGGAAATCGCCAACTCACTTAGCAAGCTTTGAAATTCGCAAACTTTTTAAAAAAGTGTTAAAAAAAAACTAACATTATTGTACACATTCTGAGGTCCAAGAAAGTACTAAATTAATCGATGTTAATAAAATGTTGTTACTCAAAATTTGTTACTCAAACGTCTTTACTCCAAAGTTGTTTCTCCAAAGTTGTTCCTCCAAAGTTGTTACTCAAAAGCTACTACTCAGAACTTGTTACTCAAAAGTTGCTACTCAGAAGTTGCTACCCAAAAGCTGCTACTCAGAGGTTGCTGCTCAAAAGTTGCTACACCAAAGTTGTTCCTCCAAAGTTGTTACTCAAAAGCTACTACTCAGAACTTGTTACTCAAAAGTTGCTACTCAAAAAGTTGCTTCTCAAAAGTTCCACTCCTAAGTTGCTACTCAAAAGTTGCTACTCAAAAGTTGCTACTCAAAAGTTGCTACTCAAAAGTTGCTACTCAAATTTTCTACTTGCAACATGTTACTCAAAAGTTGCCACACAGAACTTTTTACTCAAAAGTTGCTACCCAAAAGTTGCTACTCAAAAGTTGCTACTCAAAAGTTGCTACTTGCAACATGTTACTCAAAAGTTGCCACACAGAACTTTTTACTCAAAAGTTGCTACTCAAAAGTTGCTACTCAAAAGTTGCTACTTGCAACATGTTACTCAAAAGTTGCCACACAGAACTTTTTACTCAAAAGTTGCTACCCAAAAGTTGTTACTCAAAAGTTGCTACTCAAATACCGTATGTATTAGATTTTCAGTCCATTTACGTTTAAAAAAGAATTAAACGTAGACCATGTATTTCCGAGGATTGTTAAGCTCTTTAAATAATATAATCATTCTATTATCATCCAAACTTTTTGCAGTGACGTCATTGCACATTCGACACATGCCTTCTGTAAACATTCGGACCCTCCCATCAGATTCGCTCGGTTCTCTGTTGATCCGATAACCTCTTTCTTTTCCCTGGTCGGTGTTGGTTACATCGACATCGCGAGCAATTCCTAATCAGTTTGTCGTCTGCTGCTCAAATGGACCGACCACAAGACGTGTAAGTTTGCATGTCTGTGAAGCCAAGTTTTGCCCGGCTATACCCTACCGCGTCACACGCGTGCTCGACAGAGTTTGGGAGTGTTGACAATATCTTACAATCCAGGGCTTACAAGTTGGGGGGACACCGCAGGACGCGGATAAGACAGTGATTCGTCCTCGGAATATACGGATAAGCAAGTGATTCACGCTCGGAATATAAGGATGAGCAAGTGATTCATGCTCGGAATATACAGATAAGCAAGTGATTCCTACTCGGAATATACGGATAAGCAAGAGATTCACTCTCGAAATACTAAGACTTCATCGAATTGAAGTAAATGCCAGCGTTGATAAAAGGAGCGTAACTCTGATATCTGAAAGACTAACCGACGCAGAAGTGAGCCAATTTACAGATATGTGGTGCATTCATTTGTTTGTATTTCTTACAACAGTTGTATGCGCCGTCAGTGGTAAGTCAGCGTTATATTTCAGAATACCTCAAATTGGTACATCGTGTAACACAAAGACAAATGTTTTGTCTGACTCTCTTTGGTTCTTTAGCGGGCACAGAGTTGACATATATAAACTTTATACTTATGATAAAGACTTCAAAATTTTAATTTATGAAAATTTATTTTTAAAAAAAAAAAAAAAAAAAAAAATTTTTTATATGTTTATCGTTTTATCATAAATAAACGGAATAATTTTAATGAATTATTTGTTTCTCTTCATCTGCAAACATCATCCTTATTTTGGTGGCGAGGGAGGTGACTGGGCGACTGAGGCCGCCCGCCACTTGGGTATTTTTCGGACACACGGCACTTCCACTTACACACGTCTCAACTTCTCAAGTAGGCTAGAGAGGAAACAGGGCATTTACCACCCATAAACAACATATAACGTTACACACCTTATTAAACAACAGCCCGTGCCGTCAACAAGAACAACAACAATATAATCTTAAACCTTTGAACAAGGCTAAAAACTATATGTGTATATATATATATATATATATATATATATATATATATATATATATATATATATATAATATATTATATATAATATATATATTTTTAAAAAAATAAAAAAAAAAAAAAAAAAAAAAGAACGAAAAATTAATTAAAAAAAAAAAAAAAAAAAAAAATTTATTTGAAAGACGCCTTTAAACCTACAGATAGATCTACATGTGTCACATTTGTTAAACAACCAACCAGGTGTGGTGCGTGACCCACTTCTTTATCTTCAAATTCCAAACCGCTAATCCAGTTGATCGGGATTTTGAACTTTCTTTTTGCAGCGCATGGCGCTTAACTTACTCCCACGCTTATGCTATGCCGCTACTGATTAGGCTTAACCTTCGGGACAAATCTAAAACCTATTCTATTAATTTAGTAACAAATATTGAAGAGTGAAACTTAAGTCATCGGGCACGTTGGTTGGCGTTAAAATAACCATACGAAATAGTTCAACCAACTAAGGATTGGCGTAGGTGAGGGTGAGTGTCGTGGTTATTTATATAAGGAGAAATTACAGATATTTATTTATAGGGAGGTGATATCAGGACATGTACACCTTCCAGTATTTGGAAAACTTAGATTTCGATTTTTGTCAATGTGTACCACCGACGCCTACTTAGGTCCTCTAGTGCCGTTGTCAGAAGGCATGGGAACCGTACGGAGCGACGGGATATCATTAGACATATGTTAACCTAATTTAGGTATAGTAAATATATATATATATAAATATCAGAATAATGACAAAAACATTTTTTTTTTTAAATTGACGTCTCGTAGCAGAGACAGAACTCGTTATACTTGAAATGAATTTATACAAATTCCCCTGAAGTCATATTTAATGGACATCTCCCTTCTCCAACTTATCCCAGGATTTAAAAAAAAAAAATATTATTTGAACTGCAGTCGATGTATGATTAATATTTTAAAAAATAAAAATTAGATATTTTTTAAAAATTGGTAGGTCTCCTAAAAAGTTTGATGTTTACTCGTGGAAGCAAATGAGGTGTATAATAATTGAGCTAAGGATTGAGGCATTCAATAACCTGAAATCTATCAGCAACTAAAACATACCGACCATAAACTTTTTATTTTTATGTTGTTGCTGTTTTGTTGTTTTGTTGTTGTTGTTTTTTTTATTGTTTTTTTTTTGGGGTAGGGGGGTGGTAAATGCAATAAACTAATATGGTGGATGAGAGCCCAGATCTACTCACTGCCTACTCCACAGTGCGGGGGATTGGGGTGAGGGTGGCTGACGTGAATATATTCAGGTCAGCGATCAAATTTAATCTTTTGACTAAGTAGAGATATATTTTCAACGGGGAGGGGGGTATGTTAGAAATCAGACTGCATCAACTATTGCAAGACGTATTTTTTGCTGGCATCCGTCCGTCACAATGTGACGATGGAGTGGGCTTCGTAGGACGAAATCCACATAGCCTGGGATTATTATAATTGAAGGATTATAAGCTGGTTCCCAACAGCAAATTGCCTCTCTCCACGCCGCTGGGTAGCCCAAGGGAACATCATTGGATGATACAGCTTGGCACCAGTGACGTCGCAGGAGTTGTCGGAATGTTTCATTGTATCAATGTTATCCGCCTTTCGGGACTCCATCTCCGGGTTCGATTTCAGAGTTTCCTTCCCTTAGATGAGTTGCCGTCCAAGGTTAACGAGTCCCATCTACCCGGGGTGCTGGTGGTGTTTTTGCTCTAGCTGGAATTGAACTCCAGACCACCAACTTGAGATTTGCTCAGTTTAGGCCACCCAGCAAGACGTATACTCCATTATTTTTAAGATTTAAAGTTGACTGAATAAGAAATGTCAGAGACAGGGGGCTACGATTGCAGCTACTATGGTCAGTTGGGTTTTCTTGAGAACTAGCAAAACCAGTTTACATGTTACCCAAGGCCAGTTGACTTGTTAGCAAAGGCCAGTTGACTTGTTAGCCAAGGCCAGTTGACTTGTTAGCAAACGCCAGTTGACTTGTTAGCAAAGGTCAGTTTACTTGTTAGCCAAGGCCAGTTGACTTGTTAGCCAAGGCCAGTTTACTTGTTAGCCAAGGCCAGTTGACATTTTAGCCAAGGCCAGTTGACTTGTTAGCAAAGGCCAGTTGACATGTTAGCCAAGGCCAGTTGACATGTTAGCCAAGGCCAGTTGACATGTTAGCCAAGGCCAGTTGACTTGTTAGCAAAGGCCAATTGACTTGTTAGTCAAGACCAGTTGACTTGTTAGCCAAGGCCAGCACACATGTTAGCAAAGACCAGCTGACTTGTTAGCAAAGGCCAGCTGACTTGTTAGCCTAGGCCAGTTGACTTGTTAGTCAAGGCCAGTGGACATGTTAGCCAAGGCCAGTTGACTTGTTAGCCAAGGCCGGTTGACATGTTAGCAAAGGCCAGTTTACATTTTAGCCAAGGCCAGTTGACATGTTAGCCAAGGCCAGTTGACTTGTTAGCCAAGGCCAGTTCACATGTTAGCAAAGGCCAGTTTACATGTTAGCAAAGGCCAGTTTACATGTTAGCAAAGACCAGTTGACATGTTATAAAGGCCAGTTACTTGTTAGCCAAGACCGGTTGACATGTTAGCAAAGGCCAGTTTTCATGTTAGCAAAGGCCAGTTGACTTGTTAGCCAAGGCCAGTGGACATGTTAGCAAAGGCCAGTTGACATGTTAGCCAAGGCCAATTGACTTGTTAGCCAAGGCTAGTTTGCATGTTAGCAAAGGCCAGTTGACATGTAAGCAAAGCCCAGTTGACTTGTTAACCAAGGCCAATTGACTTGTTAGCCAAGGCCAGTTGACTTGTTAGCCAAGCCCAGTTTACATTTTAGCCAAGGCCAGTTGACATGTTAGCCAAGGCCAGTTGACTTGTTAACCAATGCCAGTTGACATGTTAGCCAAGGCCAGTTGACTTGTTAGCCAAGGCCAGTTGACTTGTTAGCCAATGCCAGTTGACATGTTAGCCAAGGCCAGTTGACTTGTTAGCCAAGGCCAGTTGACATGTTAGCCAAGGCCAGTTGACATGTTAGCAAAGGCCAGCTGACTTGTTAGCAAAGGCCAGCTGACTTGTTAGCAAAGGCCAGTGGACATGTTAGCAAAGGCCAGTGGACATGTTAGCAAAGGCCAGTGGACATGTTAGCAAAGGCCAGTGGACATTTTAGCAAAGAGGAGCGGCAGCTTGAGTTTTGGTCTTTTACTTAATATTTTTTTCAACCCCACAGATCTCATTAGCTAGACAATAGTTCCAGCAGCATGTTTTCTGACTGCAGAGTATTTGTAAAATATCAAGCTACGTTGTACTTGTTTCTAAAAAAGATATCGTGACATACATAATTCTATATAACGTATCCTTGTTAGTTGAAAATGAAAATGAGTGAAACAAATTTGAGGAAAACATGAAGAAAGAACGCTACAAAATAACGAACGTGTCGGCAAGAAGCCTTCATCAGCGAACAAACAACAGTAAAAACAGAATTAAATAAAAAATTCACTTAGTTAAAATGTAGTATCCGAGAGGACATCAAGAGGAAAAGTTGAAAATGAAACGAAACAAATTCTGAAAACGGGGCACGGGACAACATAATCAACTGCAATGTGTCAAGTTAGTTGAACAACTTCATAAGTCGAACAGTTTCGTGACTTTTGCTGAAACTATCAACTAAGGATTTAAGAACAGTTTGAGTTTGATGAGTTGTCTTTGATTTCAACGTTGATCAACACAATGTTTAGTCAAATTGTTGAATGGAAGTAAACGGAAAAATGATTTGTCAGCTTGTCCAATGGAAGTAAACGGACAAATGATTAGTCAGCGTGTCCAATGGAAGTAAACGGACAAATACATGATAATAATCATGGGCAACCGCAGGATTTTTTTATTTTGTTTGGTCATGTCATCAGTGGCTTGTCAATCTGATGGTATACAAGAGCCAAAGTTTGCTAGTATTATGCTTGGGCAGTGGTCAGATATCGCCTACTTAGTCTGGTTTGTGCTTCGTGAGGCAACCACTGAAAATAAGATTGTTTCCACGACGCTTGCCATTCACCTGTTTACATTACTGGCTTGTTTTTATCTTCAAAATCTTCGTATGCAGTTTTCTGGGTATCTTAAAGCAGTGGTCCCCAAATGGGGGTCCGTGGACCTTCACTAGTCCGCATGCCTAACGCTGCCGGTCCCCATAACATAAATATCTATTGTCAAATAGAAATAAAAGTATAAAAATAAATCATGCACCGGACCCTGGTAAAATTTCGAAACTTGTTCACCGGTCCGCCAAACTTAAAAGTTTGGGAACCACTGTCTTAAAGGACAAGCAAGAGCAACTGCCAGAGGAAGATATGTACAGGGAATTATTTATGTATCTTGTTATTGTCTGGCCTTACTGTTTTATGGAACGGTTGTGTGGAGGGGGCGGTCAACGCCGGGCTGCACTTTTTCTATATAATATTGAAGGGCAGAATTTTCGGCCAACCTCAGAATTGTTCGTCGGAGGCAGCAAAAATCTTGACACACCTCGGGTGGCCCAAAACCTAGCTACACTCCTGTCTGGCCTTAAGCTTACAATGTTGTTGACTTAAGAGACTCCTGCTTAGAGGAATGTGTTTGAGTCAGACGTTGACCGTGACTACCGATATCACTTCGATGATCTAGTCACAAAACTTCACTTTCCTCCCTTACATGTCACGGTACCACCTTCATCTAAAATTGTGTACAAACATTTGAAATAGATATCTGTTTATATATTATCTACTGTATGTCTTGAATACAACAACTGAAAATCCAAGCATGGAAAAGAAAAGGATTAGTTAGATCTGAGTGGAAGGAAGTAGTGAGGCAGGCTAAGGCCCTACATGGGCTGTATGGCTGTCTTGAATTACATTATGAAAGTTTAGCTCAGCCTAAGTAGTAGACAGTAAGGCAGTAGGTGAAAATAATGGATTGCATTCCTCTCCTGGTCCCTTGGATACTACATTGCAAGCTAAGTGTTATTTTGATTTTTATATTATTTTACTGTTGTTTGTTCGCTGAAGACGGCTTCTCGGCAACACGTTCGTTGTTGTGTTGTTTCTTTTTATAAGGATTTCCCATACTTTGTTTGTTTCACTATTTTCCTTCTACCTAACTTGTTTGCAGTCTCTCCCCCTTATAATCATTTACTCCAATAAATCTAATGAATATGTTCAACTTGGTCGATTTGTTTACCTGAATTTCACAATCAGAAATGCAAGAATCTCTTTAAAGTTTAAAGTACTGACTGCTTTAAACAATCATTAAAATTTCAGCCAACTTCTACGACATTTTCCGGCCATGCTGTCACGAAGGCGCCCAGTGGTCAAGTGCCAGTGGCCGGTGTGATAATTACCCAGCTCCTGTGTTTAACATATCAGATAATGACCAGGCCGCATGTTTAGCCATTATCGAGGTAAGTTAAATGACCAAAAAAAAAAAAAGGACTGTGGACCATACTTTACTGTCTGTGTTTGACCAAATTAATTATTTGGTGATGTAAGTGCCAGTGGCCGGTGTGATAATTACCCAGCTCCTGTGTTTAACATATCAGATAATGACCAGGCCGCATGTTTAGCCATTATCGAGGTAAGTTAAATGACCAAAAAAAAAAAAAAAGGACTGTGGACCATACTTTACTGTCTGTGTTTGACCAAATTAATTATTTGGTGATGCATTTTCATATCCTCTCTGGCGATCCAATTGTTTGATTTTTAAAAAAAAATTACATTTGGTGTTTGTATTTGGTTGGAAAATGACGAGACTCTGGAAAATGAGGAGACTCTGGAAAAGGACGAGACTCTGGAAAATGACGAGACTGGGAAATGAGGAGATGAACTCCTCTGTCCGCCGTTTTCTTTATGAAGTTAGGTAGAGACAACCGTGAGACATAATGTTCGATGTTAAAAACGCTATACTTATAGGACTGCTCTTATAGGACTGCTCTAATAGGACTGCTCTTATAGGACTGCTCTTATAGGACTGCTCTTATATGACTACTCTTATAGGACTACTCTTATAGGACTGCTCTTTGAAGTTTCTTTTTAACCGAGCCAGGCTAGACTTCTAAATGTTTGATGTTAAACTGAGACGGGCCAAATGTCTTATAAATAAAACCTCGAGAATGTTTGTGATCTCTCAATGACACAGACTCATCTGGTCTTTATATAAACAGACTCCTGTAAAAACTAGAGATGGTAATGTAACGTAAATGTGTTACTATTTCAGGTGTGTTGTAAATATGTTACTATTTCAGGTGTGTTGTAATTGTGTTACTATTTCAAGTGTGTTCTAAATGTGTTACTATTTCAGGCGTGTTGTAAATGTGTTACTATTTCAGATGGGTTGTAAATGTGTTACTATTTCAGATGGGTTGTAAATGTGTTACTATTTCAGGTGTGTTGTAATTGTGTTACTATTTCAGGTGTGTTGTAAATGTGTTACTATTTCAGATGTGTTGTAAATGTGTTACTATTTCAGGCGTGTTATAAATGTGTTACTATTTCAAGTGTGTTGTAAATGTGTTACTTTTTCCAGGTGTGTTGTAAATGTGTTACTATTTCAGGTGCGTTGTAAATGTGTTACTATTTCAGGCGTGTTGTAAATGTGTTACTATTTCAAGTATGTTGTAAATGTGTTACTTTTTCTGGTGTGTTGTAAATGTGTTACTATTTCAGGTGCGTTGTAAATGTGTTACTATTTCAGGCGTGTTGTAAATGGGTTACTATTTCAAGTATGTTGTAAATGTGTTACTATTTCAAGTGCGTTGTAAATGTGCTACTATTTCAGGTTTGTTGCATGAAGCAAACTCATCTACAGACATGCGAGGATGGCAAACAGACAGCGTTGGAAAATCAAGTTTGTGCCATCAGAGATTCTGATCCAGGGGCTGAACAATTTAGAGTGAGTAAACACTTCCATGTCCGGCGTGGGGGGTGGGGGGGGATGTCAAAATAGAAATTATGAATATGTTTCAATTTGAAAAATACCCCGCGTTTAAATATCTTCTAATTTAAAAATAAATTTGCATGAACATATTTATTCTTCTTTATGAGTCTTTCTTCACTTAGACATAGCTAATTTTGTTCACATAGCCAATTGACTAGATCTAGTTTTACTAGAGGTAACGTATTTAGTTTGTCAGGTCAATGCATACAGTGCACTGAAAAGCGGTAAAGGCATTCTTCTTCGTGATTCAGTTTTGATTAGGCCTACATTAATACGCATAGGCATATGGCATGCCGCTCTGGACACGTGAGATGTTAAGGACTTGCAATAAAAATTAATAATTAGGTTTTATTTATTCACTTCTTCAACACCAGAGAGGCTTACACGTGACTTAAAAAGAAGGCATCATAATTGGGTGACTTAACTTCATTTAACTCAGTTAATTTTAATGAAATTGATTTTTAATCCCTTCATCTAGGAATGCTGTAACTGCTGCCAACTTGGATTAGTTGCACGAACGGCCACGCCATCCTGTGTGTCGCCTGGATTTGGCGAGCCCTGTGATTCCAAGTACAGGGAATGTTGTAACGGAGATTCAGGCGGAGACAACTCAACAACCCCTGGTTGGTCCCAATCTTGTTTCGCTGGGATTTATAAGCTTGATGGAGATTTTTCTAAAAGCTTTAAGAATGAAATATCAAGAAATCGCTTTTAATCAGGCTCACTTCCTACAGTAGGCCAGAGTCCTATACTTTTTAAATGGACTAATAACAAGATTGGCTTTTTAAAAGTTAAAATTTTTGTGTTGAGTTAAAGATCAATTCAAAATTTTACTTCTGCATAAAATTAAACACAGCAAATTAAAGAAAATATGAAAACATACAGATTTAAGGCCTATTTGTTAAAAAAATTCCTTTTGTTCTATACAGCATATATCTTTGACCCTTTTACAACCAACATTTACAACAACTATGTCGAGAATACAACCTCTTTCTCAACCGATCCCAACAACTATGTTCATGACCAAGACCAGACGAGTCCTGCTGACGATGGATCAGATGAGGACATCGATGAGTGTGCTTTGTTCCGGGAACAGGTCTGCTCACACATCTGTGTCAATACAAAAGTAGGATTCTACTGCTCATGTCCAGACGGCCTTAAACTTGATCCCAGCAACAACAGGACATGCATGCAGACTGAAGTTGAGAATAAACCAGGTAACCATAGACACACAATTTTACCATCACAAGTATCCGTTTCCATTTATGTTTAAATCACAAGTCTTAGTTTCTGTACATATTTACATCACAAGTCTTAGTTTCTGTACATATTTAAATCACAGGTTTTATTTTCTGTACATATTTAAATCACAGGTTTTAGTTTATGTACATATTTAAATCACAGGTTTTATTTTCTGTACATATTTAAATCACAGGTTTTAGTTTATGTACATATTTACATCACAGGTTTTATTTTCTGTACATATTTAAATCACATGTTTTAGTTTATATACATCTTTAGATCACAGGTTTTAGTTTCTGTACATATTTAAATCACAGGTTTTAGTTTATGTACATATTTACATCACATGTTTTAGTTTATGAACATCTTGACATCACAGGACTTAGTTTATGTACATATTTACATGATAGGTTTTAGTTTATGTACATATTTAAATCACATGTTTTAGTTTATATACATCTTTAGATCACAGGTTTTAGTTTCTGTACATATTTAAATCACAGGTTTTAGTTTATGTACATCTTTACATCATAGGTTTTAGTTTATGTACATATTTAAATCACATGTTTTATTTTCTGTACATATTTAAATCACAGGTTTTAGTTTATGTACATCTTGACATCACAGGTTTTATTTTCTGTACATATTTAAATCATAGGTTTTATTTTCTGTACATATTTAAATCACAGGTATTATTTTCTGTACATATTTAAATCACAGGTTTTAGTTTATGTACATATTTACATCATAGGTTTTATTTTCTGTACATATTTAAATCACAGGTTTTAGTTTATGTACATATTTAAATCACAGGTTTTAGTTTATGTACATATTTACATCATAGGTTTTATTTTCTGTACATATTTAAATCACAGGTTTTATTTTCTGTACATATTTAAATCACAGGTTTTAGTTTATGTACATATTTACATCATAGGTTTTAGTTTATGTACATCTTGACATCACAGGTTTTATTTTCTGTACATATTTAAATCACAGGTTTTAGTTTATGTACATATTTAAATCACAGGTTTTAGTTTATGTACATATTTACATCATAGGTTTTAGTTTATGTACATATTTAAATCACAGGTTTTATTTTCTGTACATATTTAAATCACAGGTTTTAGTTTATGTACATATTTACATCATAGGTTTTAGTTTATGTACATATTTAAATCACAGGTTTTATTTTCTGTACATATTTAAATCACAGGTTTTAGTTTATGTACATATTTACATCACAGGTTTTATTTTCTGTACATATTTAAATCACAGGTTTTATTTTATGTACATATTTAAATCACAGGTTTTAGTTTATGTACATATTTACATCATAGGTTTTATTTTCTGTACATATTTAAATCACAGGTTTTATTTTCTGTACATATTTAAATCACAGGTTTTAGTTTATGTACATATTTACATCATAGGTTTTATTTTCTGTACATATTTAAATCACAGGTTTTATTTTCTGTACATATTTAAATCACAGGTTTTAGTTTATGTACATATTTACATCATAGGTTTTAGTTTATGTACATATTTAAATCACAGGTTTTATTTTCTGTACATATTTAAATCACAGGTTTTAGTTTATGTACATATTTACATCATAGGTTTTATTTTCTGTACATATTTAAATCACAGGTTTTATTTTCTGTACATATTTAAATCACAGGTTTTAGTTTATGTACATATTTACATCATAGGTTTTAGTTTATGTACATATTTAAATCACAGGTTTTATTTTCTGTACATATTTAAATCACAGGTTTTAGTTTATGTACATATTTACATCATAGGTTTTAGTTTATGTACATATTTAAATCACAGGTTTTATTTTCTGTACATATTTAAATCACAGGTTTTAGTTTATGTACATATTTACATCATAGGTTTTAGTTTATGTACATATTTAAATCACAGGTTTTATTTTCTGTACATATTTAAATCACAGGTTTTAGTTTATGTACATATTTACATCATAGGTTTTAGTTTATGTACATATTTAAATCACAGGTTTTATTTTCTGTACATATTTAAATCACAGGTTTTAGTTTATGTACATATTTAAATCACATGTTTTAGTTTATGTACATCTTTACATCATAGGTTTTAGTTTATGTACATATTTAAATCACAGGTTTTATTTTCTGTACATATTTAAATCACAGGTTTTAGTTTATGTACATCTTGACATCACAGGTTTTATTTTCTGTACATATTTAAATCACAGGTTTTAATTTCTGTACATATTTAAATCACAGGTTTTAGTTTATGTACATATTTACATCATAGGTTTTAGTTTATGTACATATTTAAATCACAGGTTTTATTTTCTGTACATATTTAAATCACAGGTTTTAGTTTATGTACATCTTTACATCATAGGTTTTAGTTTATGTACATATTTAAATCACATGTTTTATTTTCTGTACATATTTAAATCACAGGTTTTAGTTTATGTACATCTTGACATCACAGGTTTTATTTTCTGTACATATTTAAATCATAGGTTTTATTTTCTGTACATATTTAAATCACAGGTATTATTTTCTGTACATATTTAAATCACAGGTTTTAGTTTATGTACATATTTACATCATAGGTTTTATTTTCTGTACATATTTAAATCACAGGTTTTAGTTTATGTACATATTTAAATCACAGGTTTTAGTTTATGTACATATTTACATCATAGGTTTTATTTTCTGTACATATTTAAATCACAGGTTTTATTTTCTGTACATATTTAAATCACAGGTTTTAGTTTATGTACATATTTACATCATAGGTTTTAGTTTATGTACATCTTGACATCACAGGTTTTATTTTCTGTACATATTTAAATCACAGGTTTTAGTTTATGTACATATTTAAATCACAGGTTTTAGTTTATGTACATATTTACATCATAGGTTTTAGTTTATGTACATATTTAAATCACAGGTTTTATTTTCTGTACATATTTAAATCACAGGTTTTAGTTTATGTACATATTTACATCATAGGTTTTAGTTTATGTACATATTTAAATCACAGGTTTTATTTTCTGTACATATTTAAATCACAGGTTTTAGTTTATGTACATATTTACATCATAGGTTTTAGTTTATGTACATATTTAAATCACAGGTTTTATTTTCTGTACATATTTAAATCACAGGTTTTAGTTTATGTACATATTTACATCATAGGTTTTAGTTTATGTACATATTTAAATCACAGGTTTTATTTTCTGTACATATTTAAATCACAGGTTTTAGTTTATGTACATATTTACATCATAGGTTTTAGTTTATGTACATATTTAAATCACAGGTTTTATTTTCTGTACATATTTAAATCACAGGTTTTAGTTTATGTACATATTTACATCATAGGTTTTAGTTTATGTACATATTTAAATCACAGGTTTTATTTTCTGTACATATTTAAATCACAGGTTTTAGTTTATGTACATATTTACATCATAGGTTTTAGTTTATGTACATATTTAAATCACAGGTTTTATTTTCTGTACATATTTAAATCACAGGTTTTAGTTTATGTACATATTTACATCACAGGTTTTATTTTCTGTACATATTTAAATCACAGGTTTTATTTTATGTACATATTTAAATCACAGGTTTTAGTTTATGTACATATTTACATCATAGGTTTTATTTTCTGTACATATTTAAATCACAGGTTTTATTTTCTGTACATATTTAAATCACAGGTTTTAGTTTATGTACATATTTACATCATAGGTTTTAGTTTATGTACATATTTAAATCACAGGTTTTATTTTCTGTACATATTTAAATCACAGGTTTTAGTTTATGTACATATTTACATCATAGGTTTTAGTTTATGTACATATTTAAATCACAGGTTTTATTTTCTGTACATATTTAAATCACAGGTTTTAGTTTATGTACATCTTGACATCACAGGTTTTATTTTCTGTACATATTTAAATCACAGGTTTTAATTTCTGTACATATTTAAATCACAGGTTTTAGTTTATGTACATATTTACATCATAGGTTTTAGTTTATGTACATATTTAAATCACAGGTTTTATTTTCTGTACATATTTAAATCACAGGTTTTAGTTTATGTACATATTTACATCATAGGTTTTATTTTCTGTACATATTTAAATCACAGGTTTTAGTTTATGTACATATTTAAATCACAGGTTTTAGTTTATGTACATATTTACATCATAGGTTTTATTTTCTGTACACATTTAAATCACAGGTTTTATTTTCTGTACATATTTACATCACAGGTTTTAGTTTATGTACATATTTATATCACAGGTTTTAGTTTATGTACATCTTAACATCACAGGTTTTATTTTCTGTACATATTTAAATCACAGGTTTTATTTTCTGTACATATTTAAATCACAGGTTTTAGTTTATGTACATATTTACATCATAGGTTTTATTTTCTGTACATATTTAAATCACAGGTTTTAGTTTATGTACATATTTAAATCACAGGTTTTAGTTTATGTACATATTTAAATCACAGGTTTTAGTTTATGTACATATTTACATCATAGGTTTTAGTTTATGTACATATTTAAATCACAGGTTTTATTTTCTGTACATATTTAAATCATAGGTTTTAGTTTATGTACATATTTAAATCACAGGTTTTATTTTCTGTACATATTTACATCATAGGTTTTATTTTCTGTACATATTTAAATCACAGGTTTTAGTTTATGTACATATTTAAATCACAGGTTTTAGTTTATGTACATATTTACATCATAGGTTTTATTTTCTGTATATATTTAAATCACATGTTTTAGTTTATGTACATATTTACATCATAGGTTTTAGTTTATGTACATATTTAAATCACAGGTTTTAGTGTATGTACATCTTTACATCACAGGTTTTAGTTTATGTACATATTTAAATCACAGGTTTTAGTTTATGTACATCTTTATATCATAGGTTTTAATTTATGTACATATTTAAATAACAGGTTTTATTTTCTGTACATATTTAAATCACAGGTTTTAGTTTATGTACATCTTGACATCACAGGTTTTATTTTCTGTACATATTTAAATCATAGGTTTTATTTTCTGTACATATTTAAATCACAGGTATTATTTTCTGTACATATTTAAATCACAGGTTTTAGTTTATGTACATATTTACATCATAGGTTTTATTTTCTGTACATATTTAAATCACAGGTTTTAGTTTATGTACATATTTAAATCACAGGTTTTAGTTTATGTACATATTTACATCATAGGTTTTATTTTCTGTACATATTTAAATCACAGGTTTTATTTTCTGTACATATTTAAATCACAGGTTTTAGTTTATGTACATATTTACATCATAGGTTTTAGTTTATGTACATCTTGACATCACAGGTTTTATTTTCTGTACATATTTAAATCACAGGTTTTAGTTTATGTACATATTTAAATCACAGGTTTTAGTTTATGTACATATTTACATCATAGGTTTTAGTTTATGTACATATTTAAATCACAGGTTTTATTTTCTGTACATATTTAAATCACAGGTTTTAGTTTATGTACATATTTACATCATAGGTTTTAGTTTATGTACATATTTAAATCACAGGTTTTATTTTCTGTACATATTTAAATCACAGGTTTTAGTTTATGTACATATTTACATCATAGGTTTTAGTTTATGTACATATTTAAATCACAGGTTTTATTTTCTGTACATATTTAAATCACAGGTTTTAGTTTATGTACATATTTACATCACAGGTTTTATTTTCTGTACATATTTAAATCACAGGTTTTATTTTATGTACATATTTAAATCACAGGTTTTAGTTTATGTACATATTTACATCATAGGTTTTATTTTCTGTACATATTTAAATCACAGGTTTTATTTTCTGTACATATTTAAATCACAGGTTTTAGTTTATGTACATATTTACATCATAGGTTTTAGTTTATGTACATATTTAAATCACAGGTTTTATTTTCTGTACATATTTAAATCACAGGTTTTAGTTTATGTACATATTTACATCATAGGTTTTATTTTCTGTACATATTTAAATCACAGGTTTTATTTTCTGTACATATTTAAATCACAGGTTTTAGTTTATGTACATATTTACATCATAGGTTTTAGTTTATGTACATATTTAAATCACAGGTTTTATTTTCTGTACATATTTAAATCACAGGTTTTAGTTTATGTACATATTTACATCATAGGTTTTATTTTCTGTACATATTTAAATCACAGGTTTTATTTTCTGTACATATTTAAATCACAGGTTTTAGTTTATGTACATATTTACATCATAGGTTTTAGTTTATGTACATATTTAAATCACAGGTTTTATTTTCTGTACATATTTAAATCACAGGTTTTAGTTTATGTACATATTTACATCACAGGTTTTATTTTCTGTACATATTTAAATCACAGGTTTTATTTTATGTACATATTTAAATCACAGGTTTTAGTTTATGTACATATTTACATCATAGGTTTTATTTTCTGTACATATTTAAATCACAGGTTTTATTTTCTGTACATATTTAAATCACAGGTTTTAGTTTATGTACATATTTACATCATAGGTTTTAGTTTATGTACATATTTAAATCACAGGTTTTATTTTCTGTACATATTTAAATCACAGGTTTTAGTTTATGTACATATTTACATCATAGGTTTTAGTTTATGTACATATTTAAATCACAGGTTTTATTTTCTGTACATATTTAAATCACAGGTTTTAGTTTATGTACATCTTGACATCACAGGTTTTATTTTCTGTACATATTTAAATCACAGGTTTTAATTTCTGTACATATTTAAATCACAGGTTTTAGTTTATGTACATATTTACATCATAGGTTTTAGTTTATGTACATATTTAAATCACAGGTTTTATTTTCTGTACATATTTAAATCACAGGTTTTAGTTTATGTACATATTTACATCATAGGTTTTATTTTCTGTACATATTTAAATCACAGGTTTTAGTTTATGTACATATTTAAATCACAGGTTTTAGTTTATGTACATATTTACATCATAGGTTTTATTTTCTGTACACATTTAAATCACAGGTTTTATTTTCTGTACATATTTACATCACAGGTTTTAGTTTATGTACATATTTATATCACAGGTTTTAGTTTATGTACATCTTAACATCACAGGTTTTATTTTCTGTACATATTTAAATCACAGGTTTTATTTTCTGTACATATTTAAATCACAGGTTTTAGTTTATGTACATATTTACATCATAGGTTTTATTTTCTGTACATATTTAAATCACAGGTTTTAGTTTATGTACATATTTAAATCACAGGTTTTAGTTTATGTACATATTTAAATCACAGGTTTTAGTTTATGTACATATTTACATCATAGGTTTTAGTTTATGTACATATTTAAATCACAGGTTTTATTTTCTGTACATATTTAAATCATAGGTTTTAGTTTATGTACATATTTAAATCACAGGTTTTATTTTCTGTACATATTTACATCATAGGTTTTATTTTCTGTACATATTTAAATCACAGGTTTTAGTTTCTGTACATATTTAAATCACAGGTTTTAGTTTATGTACATCTTTACATCATAGGTTTTAGTTTATGTACATATTTAAATCACATGTTTTATTTTCTGTACATATTTAAATCACAGGTTTTAGTTTATGTACATCTTGACATCACAGGTTTTATTTTCTGTACATATTTAAATCATAGGTTTTATTTTCTGTACATATTTAAATCACAGGTATTATTTTCTGTACATATTTAAATCACAGGTTTTAGTTTATGTACATATTTACATCATAGGTTTTATTTTCTGTACATATTTAAATCACAGGTTTTAGTTTATGTACATATTTAAATCACAGGTTTTAGTTTATGTACATATTTACATCATAGGTTTTATTTTCTGTACATATTTAAATCACAGGTTTTATTTTCTGTACATATTTAAATCACAGGTTTTAGTTTATGTACATATTTACATCATAGGTTTTAGTTTATGTACATCTTGACATCACAGGTTTTATTTTCTGTACATATTTAAATCACAGGTTTTAGTTTATGTACATATTTAAATCACAGGTTTTAGTTTATGTACATATTTACATCATAGGTTTTAGTTTATGTACATATTTAAATCACAGGTTTTATTTTCTGTACATATTTAAATCACAGGTTTTAGTTTATGTACATATTTACATCATAGGTTTTAGTTTATGTACATATTTAAATCACAGGTTTTATTTTCTGTACATATTTAAATCACAGGTTTTAGTTTATGTACATATTTACATCATAGGTTTTATTTTCTGTACATATTTAAATCACAGGTTTTAGTTTATGTACATATTTAAATCACAGGTTTTAGTTTATGTACATATTTACATCATAGGTTTTATTTTCTGTACATATTTAAATCACAGGTTTTATTTTCTGTACATATTTAAATCACAGGTTTTAGTTTATGTACATATTTACATCATAGGTTTTAGTTTATGTACATCTTGACATCACAGGTTTTATTTTCTGTACATATTTAAATCACAGGTTTTAGTTTATGTACATATTTAAATCACAGGTTTTAGTTTATGTACATATTTACATCATATGTTTTAGTTTATGTACATATTTAAATCACAGGTTTTATTTTCTGTACATATTTAAATCATAGGTTTTAGTTTATGTACATATTTAAATCACAGGTTTTATTTTCTGTACATATTTAAATCACAGGTTTTAGTTTATGTACATCTTGACATCACAGGTTTTATTTTCTGTACATATTTACATCATAGGTTTTAGTTTATGTACATATTTAAATCACAGGTTTTATTTTCTGTACATATTTAAATCATAGGTTTTAGTTTATGTACATATTTAAATCACAGGTTTTATTTTCTGTACATATTTACATCATAGGTTTTATTTTCTGTACATATTTAAATCACAGGTTTTAGTTTATGTACATATTTAAATCACAGGTTTTAGTTTATGTACATATTTACATCATAGGTTTTATTTTCTGTATATATTTAAATCACATGTTTTAGTTTATGTACATATTTACATCATAGGTTTTAGTTTATGTACATATTTAAATCACAGGTTTTAGTGTATGTACATCTTTACATCACAGGTTTTAGTTTATGTACATATTTAAATCACAGGTTTTAGTTTATGTACATCTTTATATCATAGGTTTTAGTTTATGTACATATTTAAATAACAGGTTTTATTTTCTGTACATATTTAAATCACAGGTTTTAGTTTATGTACATATTTACATCATAGGTTTTATTTTCTGTACATATTTACATCACAGGTTTTATTTTCTGTACATATTTACATCACAGGTTTTATTTTCTGTACATATTTAAATCACAGGTTTTATTTTCTGTACATATTTAAACAACAGGTTTTAGTTTATGTACATATTTACATCATAGGTTTTATTTTCTGTACATATTTAAATCACAGGTTTTAATTTATGTACATATTTACATCACAGGTTTTATTTTCTGTACATAATTAAATCACAGGTTTTAGTTTATGTACATATTTACATCACATGTTTTAGTTTATGTACATATTTAAATCACAGGTTTTAGTTTAAGTACATATTTACATCACATGTTTTAGTTTATGTACATATTTAAATCACAGGTTTTAGTTTATGTACATATTTAAATCACATGTTTTAGTTAATGTACATATTTAAATCACATGTTTTAGTTTATGTACATATTTAAATCACATGTTTTAGTTTATTTACATATTTAAATCACAGGTTTTAGTTTAAGTACATATTTACATCACAGGTTTTAGTTTATGTACATCTTTAAATCACAGGTTTTAGTTTAAGTACATCTTTACATCACATGTTTTAGTTTCTGTATATATTTAAATCACATGTTTTAGTTTATGTACATATTTACATCACATGTTTTAGTTTATGTACATATTTACATCACATTTTTTAGTTTATGTACATATTTACATCACATGTTTTAGTTTATGTACATATTTAAATCACATGTTTTAGTTTATGTACATATTTACATGATAGGTTTTAGTTTATGTTCATATTTGCATCACATGTTTTAGTTTCTGTACATATTTACATCACATGTTTTAGTTTATGTACATCTTTACATCACAGGTTTTAGTTTCTGTACATATTTATATCACAGGTCTTAGTTTCTGTACATATTTATATCACATGTTTTATTTTCTGTACATCTTTACATCACAGTTCTTAGTTTCTGTACATATTTACATCACACGTTTTAGTTTATGTACATCTTTACATCACAGGTTTTATTTTCTGCACATCTTTACATCACATGTTTTAGTTTCTGTACATCTTTACATCACAGTTCTTAGTTTCTGTACATATTTACATCACACGTTTTAGTTTATGTACATCTTTACATCACAGGTTTTATTTTCTGTACATATTTACATCACAGGTTTTAGTTTCTGTACATATTTACATCACAGGTTTTAGTTTCTGTACATATTTACATCCTATAATACATAAAAAAGACAAAGTTTGCTAGATTATTTTATAAAGACATATTATTGTAACTGAAAGAAAACCCAAGGTTGCTCTGTTTACTCCAAATGCTTAAAATAGTCATCAAGCATTTCTAAATGATGTGGCCATGATTTATTTGGATTGTTCATGCTGTTTGCATTCAATGGCCTCATACCACTGAGTAAACTCATGATTTTCATCATTGATTTCGTAACAGACTTTTAAAAAGCACAGCACAATTGCAAGAAAATAATCTAATAAATAAATTTTACAAAATTATTTCAGAGTCAGTCTCTGCCACTGGTCCTCTTGAAGGGCCCAATGGGGCTCATGACTGTGAGTACAACAACCCATGTGAACAACGGTGTGTGATTAATGAGGAGAGTTTGCTTCAGTGCAAATGTTATGATGGCTACCGCCTGGCAGCAGACAAGATGGCATGTGAAGGTAATCAGGACATAATTAAATATGAACATGTTTTTTTTAACTGAACAACTTTCCTACTGAGGCAAAATATTCCAAACTGGAAAAGCAATATGTTGTCTTTTAGCAGGAAGGACAAATGGCTGAAAAGTTATCTGGCTGTATTTAAAAAATTAATGAACAGAGTTACACACATGCCCTTTTGAATAAATGCCAATATTTTTTTGAAATAAATATCGTTGTAGCATGATTTGTTTGCATACAAATACATGAGTGACAAAGTTTAGATGAACATTCAATGAAAATTATTTCGCATTTCTTTAATGAATATATTCACTATAGGGGAAGAAAACGTTAAAAAAATAAAATGTTATGAAAGCTAAACCTCATACGAAAAAATGGACTGATAGTTTTGGATTTTGACCTATGCCTAAACAAATCAATGGGTTCGCGCATACAGGCAGAAAGCCGTGGATCGATCAGAATGAAAGGATGTGGTGAAGCAGGCCAGGGTCCTGTATGGGATGTGGCGCCATTGATGATGATGAAGGAAGAAAAAGAGAATTTGTCACTTAAAATTTTCTTGAGGTTTAAATGTGATCCATGCAGTCGAAATTGCAGTAAATATAACTAACTGAAAACTGTTTTACTCCGATCCCCATGTTTTCAGATATTGACGAATGTAAGGAGAAATCAGCAACTTGTCCTGGGGTCCAGATGTGTGTCAATACAAGAGGTGGCTACACATGTGTCACTCGATGCCCTCCTAACTTGGTACAGAACCAAGTAACTGGTGTCTGTGAACAAGGAAAGCAACACTGTAAGACTGGATTCTTATTCAATGCAGAAACCAACAAATGTGAAGGTAAGCTCTATATATGGTGTGCTATCTGCATGATTCAGATGCCAGTTTGGTTGGGTTGGTGGGATTCAATGCAGAAACCAACAAATGTGAAGGTAAGCTCTATATATGGTGTGCTATCTGCATGATTCAGATGCCAGTTTGGTTGGGTTGGTGGGGTGGGGGGGGGGGGGACTTTGACAAGTAAGTTTATTTAACATTTTCTGATGCCGGTCTGAACAATTTCATTTTTTTTCCACAACTACTGTCCCAATATATAGTATTTTATTACCCTTCTTTCATTTTTCTTGTTCACCATGTTCATGGCCACATTATTTGCTATGTGCCATTTAATGATTTTTTTTAAAAATTAGAATCACTAATTCACATTTATAGAATATCCATGTGTGTCTTTATGTCATATTTGAAGGCTTTCTTTGTATGTTCCTTTAAAGATCAAAATGTATTCTGAGTCTTCAAAAGAATGGTTATTTTCTTTATTGTATTTGATCGATGGGATTAAAGGTCCTCTATAAAATGGAATATTTTCTCAGGAATCATCAGGACCAGAAGAGGATATTTGTGAAACTAGGTATGGGTAAAACCTAAAAAAATGTGACGTAACAAAACAACAAAAGAATCTGCAAGAAACCTTCTTCAGTGAACAAACAACGAGTTGCACAAATGTAAAAATAAACATGACGTCCTATTTTCAGGATTTCACATACCTTATTTCACATATTTCCTTCTACCTTGCCTGATTGCAGTCTCTTTCTACCTTATTATAATGATCAGGACCAGCTGTGGTTAGGCAGAGGAAATAAAATCTAAATATTGATTTAGTTCTCATATATTAGACACCATATTTTTCTGAGTATATTAAAAATGATTGTTTTTTTACTTGAGGTTAATACTCCCTGAGTATATCACAAATGTTTTTTTTTAATCGAGGTTTATACTCCCTGAGTATATTACAAATGATTGTTTTTTTACTTGAGGTTTATATTCCAACATTGGTACAGGTTTATTTTCTCTTATTTTCAGATCTGAATGAATGTGGTCTGGGCATTGACTCTTGTGACACTGGTGCAAGATGTGAGAACACCATTGGTTCCTATGTGTGTCGTAGGGAACGCCACTGTGGAACCGGCTACACATTAGATGAAGAGTCTCAAAAATGTATAGGTAGGCCTATTTGTCATATATCTATCATCAGGTCTCCAATCTTGTGACAAAAACTTCTACTAATGTCATATTATGGATATCACCTGAATGATTTATGCTCACAGATTAAATAATTATAATTTAAATTGCAATGCACTGACATCTAGGAATATTAATAATAGTTTTTATTACTGGGGAAAAATCATTTTCATCAAAATAATCAAATGTACCCCATTATAATTATTGCCCTTATCTTGATATATAAAAGTGCAATCTATGAAATTAAAATAATTAGAAAAATTGGAAATGAAATTATAAAGAAAAAAAAGATCTTTCAGTGATTTAAAAAAAAAAAAGAATAGAGAGTCACATGAAAATACTACAAAAATGTTGGGGTCCCTTTTGGCAAGAAAAAAAAGGTGCAGCATTTAATTTAATTACCCGTAATAATTTGATTTTTTTCTAACCATAAAACCATAAAATATTCCTTATGCTATCTTTCAGATAATGATGAATGTGTTCTTGGTACGCATAACTGTAATGATGGCTATAGATGTCAGAATATTCAGGGATCATTTAGGTAAGACACTATACCCATCAATTATCCAGTTTTAGTAGAGGGAATGATTGTAAAGTCTTTTTTGACAATATTTTTGACCATTGTTGATTTGATTTTTTTCTGGCCTAATTATAAGCTCTTTTAATTTAAACCATGTGTGCACTGACTTTCTCTTGGCTTTTTTTTTTTTAGTTAGCAAAGTGTGCATTATCCCATGTGCAGATACTTTGAATTTTAAAAGACAACTTTTGTTATGTATAAATATTTTTAATGATTTTAAACAATTTCAATGATTTTTTTATCAAAATATCAATTTTATTAGCACAAATAGCAAAAGATAGTGTCAATTTATTTTGAAAAACATACTGGCATAATCCCTGCAAGTTGCTTGTAGAAGCAAATTGAAAAATACCAAATTGATCGCAAGGGCTAATGCAAACCTCATTGGACATATTATATTGTTTAAAAACACATTGATAAATAATTTTTAGATGTGTTCCAAAGCCATGTGCCAAAGGATTCAGATTTGACCCAGTAAAAGCTGAGTGTATTGCAATCCAATGTCCGGTTGGACTTAAACCAAATGAGGCTGGCAATTGTGTAGGTAAGTCTTATTTCCACTTCAGAAATTGTAGGCAGATAAATAGCAATTAAGACACTGATGGGTAGAGGAGATGGTCAAATTAAGAAATGTTTTCTAAGGCGACAAATAAGAAGTTGCAAAAGGTTGTGACAACTGCTTGTGTATACAAGAATTTAATAAACAAGAAAGTTTTAAAATGTTCTTCTTCTTCTTCTATATCTTAAGGGCCCACGATCAATTTATTGATCATTTTGGCTCCTATGCATGTAGATGGGATTTGCAATGTTAGACTATATCATGCTCTAATTATCAAAGAGCAATCATACATTTTTCTAGAAATGGGGGTGAGTTGATACTCCATTACAAGAGCTGTAAAAGAAGAAAGAAAAAAATAAGCAATTTTACTCATACTGAAATCACATTATATTAATCAAGGTTAAAGTATTTAATTATCATTTGCGTTTAGAAAATTTAAAAAATGTATGTTTTAAAAAATCACTGTGCTTTATTAACAGATATTAATGAGTGCATAGAAATGGGTGAAACTGCCTGCCGACGACACCAGAAATGTGTTAATACGAGAGGTTCTTATCACTGTCGTAATATTGTCAACTGTCCTGCAGGATATGAACCTTCAGAAACAAATGGCTGTTTAGGTGATTATCTTTTGGTGTTTTATTTTATCATTAATTATCTTTTTTTTTTAAATTGAAAAAAAAATGTACTTTATAGTAAAACAATATTGGAATTTAAATCCAGTTTTAGATTATAAACATATTAAAATGATTTTTCTGAGAGATACGGCAAAATGTATAAACAGATAATATATGTGCATAGGTAATTTTAGAAGAATATCCCTATGTGTGTCTTCCTGACAGTTTATTATATTTGAGGAAAATGAAACCTAAAATTCTTTAGGGCAAACATATTATACACAATCACACAGTCCCATCTGCCCTTCATCCCCTGTGGCCGCAGGGGGCCTTGGTTATGTTAGTGCCCCATCGTTTTGAATGTGATATGGAAACTATATAAAAGGAAGTATTACAAATGTTTTTGTTGTATGTTCTTCAAACACAACGATGACCAAAACAATTTTCGACTTGAGTGGTAGCCTTGACTTAGCTGTAATTTTGTTTTAAGTGTGTGAGTGTTGCTCAGTTTGTCAGCCTCACGCTCTCATCCTTGCCTATTTGATCCAATGACAAGGCTTAGTCAAGATGACTGGAAATAGACCAGGATGCAGTAGATAACCAGCAGAGTGTGGGTATGTTTCTTTATGTGTTCTACCTCACAGGAGTTGTTGGAATTTCCATTGAGTCAATGTCATACCGCCTATAGCACTCCATCTCCGGGTTTGATTTCAGAGTTTGTTTTCTCTTAGATGAGTTGCCATCCAAGGTTAAGTGACACGATGGCTCTGTATCCATGTAGGACTGGTTAAGGTGTAATTTGGATACAAAGTTTTCCAATAAGCTATAATGTCACATTTGAAAGGAAATTAGATGTTTATTAAGTTAAATATAATTTCATTGATGATGTCTCAATCAATTACCATTGTATAACTATCTCTATTTTTTAAATGTAGCAAGCTGTTATTTTAAATATATATCTACTATCGCATAAAGTTTTTGATTTGTTGTTATCCACTAGTGTGTAGTTTTTAATCTTGATAATTAAGAGAAAAAATTATTGGATGAAAGTTAGGCAATGAAGACTATGAAGTATGATGTAACTATCCCAATTATATATTAACTATTGGGAATGAAGAACTCAAAAACTATTGTATTTTTTTAGATGTTAATGAATGTGAACGTGGAACTCACAAATGCGAGACTGAACAACAATGTATAAATAAACAAGGGACGTACTACTGTCAGTGTCCTAGAGGAATGAAACATGACCATCTTGGACGTTGTGTAGGTATGTAGATACATGAAACATAGCAGCATTAGAAATTCATCAATTTTTTTAAAATTTTAAACTAAGTAGCAAACTATCTCTACGTCTCTTTGTTACATTGGCTATTATAATTTTTTGTTAAAAAGATGCTAGTCTTTACTAAGGTTAAATTTGTGCATTCTGGAATGCAATGTTTGAGTGTCATACAAGTAAATTTCTTCTTTAGAAAAAAAGACTATGAAAGTTTTCAGTGAAATTTAAAAAAATAAAATATGAATGTTTTTGTTTTCAGATGTGGATGAATGCTCATATGGGGCTGCCATCTGCCCTACAAATTCTCACTGTGTTAACACAATAGGATCATTTAAATGTGAATGCAGTGACGGATTAGTGGATGATGGGAACGATGCTTGCTCAGGTAACCACAATATTTATAGTTTTCCTTTACTATTTTCAAACATCTTTAAATCTTTAAAAAAATAAAGTTTTATGAAAGGAACATTCTTTTAATTAATGTATTTTTAACACATAAAATAAAACTTTAAAGGTCTTTATGTTTTTACATAAACAAAAATGTTTTAAAATAAAATACAAATGTTTTTAAATAAAATGTAAAAATGTGCTTGCATTCTGTTGATCCTGATAAGTCAATCCTTTTTATTTAAATCTCAATACTCTATGAGCATTGTTGACACATTTTATCCACTTTTACTTTGCAAATTATATTTAACTTTTGCAATTTCAGACTTTAACAATATACAACAATAGTAAATATTCTTCTTATATATTTTGAGGGCCCAGGATCAATATATTGATCATTCTGGATCCTATGTTTGTAGAGGTGTTCGCGATGTAACTGTGCATGGTTTTGAAGAGGATACTTCACTGGATGCAATGGCTACTCAGTGATGGTATTAAGAACTGGGGGTTGGAAGACAGGAGGCAAAAAGAAGCAAATTTTTCCAGTGTAGTCGCCTCAACTGTTGCTTGAATAAATGATAAACAAGAGATATTTACAATTATAATAGATCACATTGTAAATGCAGTAAGGAGTGACATCAAAGTTGAAAATTTCCGCTTTCAGATAGCATTTTAATATTGTGACTAACTTCTAAGTCTTAAATACTTAAATATCTAATCAGTGATGCACCAAAAAGACAAATATAAAACCGTAGACAGCCCATGCCTCAGAAAAACTCTTTATATTATATATGTCCTATAATTTTCTGTCTGACTTATTTCAGATGTTGATGAGTGTCAAGCTGAGGGCATATGCCAACAAAATTGTGTCAATGTCCTTGGCTCATTTTTCTGCTCATGTAACAGAGGCTATCAGTTGCGTGATGATAAACGAACTTGTGAGGGTAGGTCGGTGTACAAATAAGGTCAGGTTAATTCTTTAAAATATTATAATCAAAAACTAGTTTTCTTTCATTAAATGTAAATTAATGTTTCAATATCACATCAATTTTAAGTGTGTCAGTATTGTAATCTCTGACTTCCAGCGGATGGCTTTAAAAAATAGTGGTAGTTTTATCCCTAGGTCTCAGATATTGTGTATCATGGTATTTTAAATAGAATTTAACTATTTAAACCTAAAACAAACTATTGTGAAACCCTTAGCCTTTTTGCCATAAAAAATGGTAGAACTAGAACACACTTCAATAAGTTTCAAAAAGTTTCCTTAATGTTGTCATTGATTACATAAGCAATCGAAAAGGCTAAATCTTCATGATATATGACCTGTCTATAACTTAAAAACTTTGGCAAAAGATAACTAATCCTCCTTTGTATTCATTCACTAGATATAGATGAGTGCACTCAGTTTGGTGGCCGTGGTGGTAACAATGGTGTGTGCGCCGGTCGTTGTGTCAATGTGCCTGGGTCCTACAAGTGTGAGTGCCCAGAGGGCTGGAGGCTAAAGCCTGATGGTCGCTCATGTGAAGGTGAGTCAGTGAGACAACATTGTTTACTAAATTGAAGTAAATTTTAACTTATATAGTAGAGCTGTTACTTTTTCACATATAGCAAATTCCCAAAGTTAAAACCATAAACAGAGTCTCAATAGCTAGTATAAATATTAAAAGGTTAATAATATTTTTTCAATACTCATCACTTGTATAGTATCTTCATTATTCGTGTGATGTTTCAATTGAATTAAAAAAAAAGAAAAGTTTCAGTATTTATATTTCAAAAGAAGATCGGATTGACTGTGTCAATATTGAATCTACTTTCATGATAACTTTTGGAACTTTTTAAACATTGATAATGATCATTCACAGCCTGCATTGCCATGTCAGCATACAATAAAAGATTCAGAAAACCAAAACACGAGAAAATACATGAGCTTTAAATCAGCGTTTCCCAAACATTTAAGTTTGGCGGAACAGCGGACAAGTTTTGAAATAGTGAAAAGGGCCGTTGCCAGATTTATTAAATTACATTTTCTTTTTCTTGGACCAAAAGTATTCATGTTGTTTGGACCCAAAGTGTAAGGCCTGTGGACCATAGCCAGTCCACATACAACCATTTGGGTCATGTTGTGTTAACCCACAGTGCTGTATGTGGACCATAACCAGTCCACAGACAACTATTTGGGTCATGTTATGTGGACCCACAGTGTAAGGCCTATGGACCATAACCAGTCCACAGACAACCATTTGGGTAACACCCTTTAAATAACCAGTTAAAATTTTTACAGAATATTGTAGGTCTTTGGGCTGCAGAAATAAATTAGGTTCAAAGTTCAGGTGAATAGAAATTAGGTTCAAAGTTCAAGTGAATACAATCATTTGACATTTAATCTTTTGCTCTCAAAGCTCTTTGTGTGAATTTTTACTTACCATCTATGTGTAGCAGAACTATTTATAGGTATAGAACTTAAACAAATTATTTATATACAGAAAATATTTATGGCAAATGACATCCATAAGGACATGTAGATGATGTGTACTTATTTAAATATCAATAAATGTTGAATAATACTTTTAAATGTTTTAAACTCAGATGTGAATGAATGCAGTGAACTGACAGCTTACTGTCCACATCCTGAAAGTATGTGTTTCAACATACGAGGCGGCTACAAGTGTCCCATTGTCAGGTGTCCCGACGGGTTTATCAAAACCAATGCATCGGGTCAACAAAACAGGTGAGTTTTTGTGGTTAAGTCAGATAAAGTCATGCATGGCAGATGTTGGCTAAATAAATATATGTTCTAATAAATTAAGATTAATGCTACAATGTAGGCCTATACTAATGCCACTAGTTGAAATTTAAAAGCATGTTATCAGGGCTAGTTCATAAATTAAACTAACACAATAAAAACTTAATTATATCACTATTTCACTGTTGCCTTTTGTGTCTTTTGTATGAAAAACATATTTTAATATTTTAATATATAGTTGAGAACGTCTCATTCCTAACATTTTTCCCATTGCCAACCACCAGTTTACGATGTAAGCGGATATCCACCGACTGCCTAGAGTGTCGTCGTGGTCTTATCTCCAGGACTTACAACTTCCTGTCTTTTGCGTCAAATGTTATTGTGCCGGCGCCACTTTTTTCCATGACTGGAAGCAGACTTGTTGACAAGTTTTATACATGGGACCTTGAATTGTTGTCAACTAGACCTTTGAGAGCTGGTGTACTAACTGCTCAAGTGAACGATTTTTCCTTGGAGAAGAGCCGCGACTTCTCACGAGTTACTCTGATCAAACGTATTGAAGGGCCACAGGATATTGTGCTCAAGTTATCCATGAATGTAACGAGCTATTACAAAGGTTTTGAAGGCACGGCAGAGTCAAGAATTTATCTGTATATAACTGAAGATGAAACCAGTAACTAACACATGCATATTTCATGAAACGCAGAGCCAGAGATCAAAATACTTTTTCACTGCAGCTTGTATTGTCTTGTACAATTAACCCGTAACTTGCCTTGCAAAGATGCCAATGAAAACGTTTATTTGAATGATGTATTTATTTATATGTTCCATTTTATTTGCATTATATAAACATGTGTTAAAATATAAATCATATATAAAAATCAAAATGAAATCTTTGTTGTTGCCTACCATTTTAAGGATTTAACAATTTATAAGATAAAAACAAAGATTTAAGTAAATACAAAAAGAGCAATACCAAAAAAGTCAATGACATTTACAATTTATTTATTATCCTATTTCTCATATAAAGTACAACTTTAAGTGTACAAAATTTAAGCTATAGTAACTCTGGTAACTCTAGTAACTCTAGTAACTCTGGTACAATACTGAAACAATTTAAGATGATGGAAAAGTTTTTTGATACATATTTAAGCATCCCCCTCTTGCAGTCAGTCTCTATGTGTGCATTATTCATGATCACTTTTGGTAAAATGTGAATGGTTAAATGACTAGCCCAACCTATCAAGCGTCTGAATCTCATGGTGTGCAAATATGGTGTGTAGTTTTGGACCATTGCAGATACAATCTAGTCTTAGTTCTAATCCAACACTTGCAAGAGATTTGTGTCTCGGAAGACACACCAAGCTAACATTTACAGGACATTCATTTCTTGGAAGACACACCAAATTAGCCTTTACAGGACATTCATTTCTTGGAAGACACACCAAGTTAGCTTTTACAGGACATTCATTTCTTAGAAGACACACCAAGTTAGCTTTTAAAGGACATTCATTTCTTGAAGGGTCCCATCCACCCGGGTGCTGGTGATGTTTTTGCTTGACTGGGCTTTGGCTGTAATTGAACTCCAGACCACCAAAATGAGATTTGCTCAGTTTAGTTTGCTTCAATTTATAAGACATTCGTGTATTTCAAGATTCTAGTCTAACTTTTATAATGAATTGATTTATTTCTTACATGACTAATAACAATTTTTTCCCCTTTACTACAGATCTTTGTATAGCGAACACCCTAAATTGAAAAAATAAGCCCACCCCCTTCAAAAAAAATAATTGCTGACCAAAAGTCAAAGATGCATAGGTCTACTTTTGACACAGTGTCATTCTAAGACATTGATTAGAACATCTGAGAGCTGAACTGAGAGCTGAACTAGAGCTGAGCCGGCTGACGTTTTTTTGTCCGGTGTACACAGAGACAGGGAATTTGGGATGATTACAATTCAGAAACTATAAAAAACGCGAAGTTTCTTAACCTGCATGTATATCTCCAGTACGGGTGGGCATTGATTGTTGGCATGTGCAAAACACACACAAAAAAAAAAAAAAAAATCTCCTCCCCCCCTCCCTCCCCCCCCCGCACTTCTTTTTTTACTATCTCCCCTCTGCATCCGTACACATGAGCTAACTAAAAAAAAAAAAAAAATCCCCTCCCCCCCTCCCCCCCCCCCCCGCACTTCTTTTTTTACTATCTCCCCTCTGCAACCGTACACATGAGCTAACAACACCCCCCCCCCCGGCACACGCACGCACACAATATCACTGCATTTGTAGACAAGTGTGACGTCGCAGAAAGTCATGTCACAGGACGTTTTCTCCGCCATCTGTTTGGCACAGCCCAGTGGTTCCCAGTTTGTTCGCCACGTCACCCTAGGGAGCTACGGCTTCCCCTCGGGGGGCGCCACGAAATAATACACGATTTTCATAATTGTATTTCCACTTTCGATACAATGTGACAGGAAACGACATCTAGCGGATGTGGTGCAAACCAGAATCTCTGACTTAAATGATTACTGTTTGTAGGTCTCCCCCCCCCCCCCATTTTTTTTCTCCAAATTTATTATACACATTAAATGGTTACTAGATACCACTTAGAGGCCCACAAATGTTTTAATTATATTTACCCAATGCTCTAATCTATTAGTGATTTGACATAGGTTGCCTGGGGAAACACATATTCGGCCAAAGCCCTACAATAGCATGGGCTGTAGCGCCACAGACACAGGGACGGATGGAGTAGCCCAGCCAGTGGTCGGAAAATCTTTAGCGACCTGAATGTGGCTCGGCCAGCCGACCACAAATCGGGTATGACTCAAAATAAAAATATGGTTCTTGGCAGGTTCTTGAAAAGAAATTTGGCTGTCAATTTTTTTAAATATTTTTTTTTATTCATCCTGCTGCTGATTTTTAGCTCTTTTGACTAATGAGTTTGCCGACCATTGGAGTAGCCAAACAAAATAATTACGTCACACGTTAGGAACACACTAAGCCGAATAGAGGACTAAATATTATAGGAAATTTAAAGTAATAGCTTTTTTGGCAAGAGGAAATGCCATGATCATAACCAAAGATATAATGTGTTTGCATGCGTATCCGGAAATTTGTTTGAAAGAATTTCGTCGACGGAAAATTGATCGAACGGAAATTTGGTCGAATCTTTTTTCAGTTCACATGTTAAAATTTTGCATCGAATTTCTTTTTGAACGCATTATTTTGTTTACTACAAGGCACAGTATTAACAATGTATGTAACCAAGCAAACCAAGCCTTGGGGTTCTTAAGGCGAAATCTAAAGATTGGCAACTCCTGTGTGAAAGAAAGAGCATATAAAGCCTTTATCCGTCCGATTTTAGATTATGCATCTTCAGTCTGGGACCCATTTACCCAGAAGAGCATTGACAGGTTGGAGGCGGTCCAGCGACGAGCAGCACGTTTTGTCCTAAACCGCTACAGGAATACCTCTAGTGTTGGCAGCATGCTAGAAACACTAGGCTGGTCACCATTGGAGAAACGACGACGACAATCCAGGCTCTCCATGATGTACAAGATAAATAATGGGCTGGTCCACTGTTCCAGTATTAAACAGAAACTCGTCCCTCTCCCCCATAGACAGCGACGAGGCCATGACAGGCAATTCAGGCTCATACCAGCAAGAAGCCAGTATAGGAGCTGCTCATTCCTGCCCAAGACAATCAGGGACTGGAACCATCTTTCAAAAGGAACAGTTGAGGCGACAACACTAGACACATTTGTGTCTATTGCCTCAAGCCTTCAAACCCCTAGTGCATAATTTCCTCATCACCACCAGTAACAGAAACATTGCAAATCCCATCTACATGCATAGGAGCCAAAATGATCAATAAATTGATCGTGGGCCCTTAAGATATAGAAGAAGAAGAAGAACATAAATAAGCAATGAAAAATGAGGCAAGCGTGATGTATTGCCTATTGTAATTGATTCGTATAATAATTTGTTGCTTTTTGCTACACCATACTTAGGTTGTTTAATGTCCTTTAAAAATATATATAGGCCTATATAGTTTTCTTGAACGCACATAATAATGAAATTAAAATGCTGATATGTACAAAAAAGGGGAATTTTCATTGTTTTTTTTTTTTTTTTTTTTACATCTGCCTGGAGCATTGGTTACCATAGAAACATGTGGAAGATGCGGTTAAGCTACTACAGAAAGATGTCAGGGAACGCACGTTGTGCGATTGGAGTGGGAATGTTTTTGGAATTACCAGAAAGGGAAAAAAAAGCAGGGGGGGGGAACGTGATTTTACTTTTTTTTAAAATTAGTATGCGTCAATTTTCATATTGGATGTGTCAATAATAACCAGTGGCGTATCGAGGGTGTTTGGCGCCCGGGGACAAGATCCATTTTTAGCGCCCCTTTTTCTTTTTTTCAACTCTCAAACCCATTATTTTCATAAATAAAATATTATCAAAGCACATTTTGGCGCCCCTAACTAGCTGGCGCCCGGGGACATCTGTCCCCCCTGCTCCCACCACGCTACGCCTCTGATAATAACCAATTGTTGGATGTTGCTTTCCTTAACTTACTTAATACGAGGGTATCTTTTTTCACCACCCATCCTTCTTCCCCAAAGTGATGAAACAAGAGACGGGCAAGGTGTCGTCTGCGGCAGAAAGAATTGTAAACCTTCCGATGTAGCGTGTGCCCGAAACAAGACCAAAACCTTATCCTGGGAGTTCTTGTCCATGCCGGGGTATGTTGATAAGTTAAATTTAAATGAATCAAAACTATGATTGTGATTCACAGACATGCAACACAAGCAAATAACGATTAATGGGTCCTATGGAGATTTGATATAAAATAAATAAAATAAAACATTCTTTCTAACTGATCTTTTGCTCCAAGATGGGTCACAAATAAAATTATATAAATAAAACATATAAATAAATATAGTATTATAAGTAAACCAAACATTTTTTCGAGAGTTTCATAAATGTTTGATATAATAATGTTAAGTAGGCAAGTAATTTATTTCTTCGATTTAATTTATTCCACTTAATTGAAGACTTTCAAAAAAAAAATCTCATCAGCTTTGACTTCATTACTGCTCCATTGACGTTGATGACGATTCAAACTATCCGATACACTAACAAACGCTCCACAAATCTTCATCTTGTAATTTTGAGTGGTAACGAGGACAAGCTATTTGCCACTGCAGTCAACGGAGATTCTGGTACGGTAGTAAAAAAAAAAAATCAAGTTGAATATAATCATTCACCATAAAATAAATTCAATCAAAGCGAATATCATTGTGCTGTTCTGATTGTATTGTCTTAAGCAGTGGCGTAGCTAGGTTTAATGCCACCCGGGGCGGGCAAAGATTTTTGCCGCAGCGACCACGAAAAAACCTTGTAGTTCGACGAAAAATGCCGCCCCTCAGTATATAGAGGAAAAGTGCCGCCCGGGGCGGACCTCCCCCTGCCGCCCCCATCACGCTACGCCACTGGTCTTAAGCTATTTTCTTCGATCATATTCTCCTCGGTTTCTTTCTTTCACTTCACAGCAAGTCTTTTATTGTTGCGTCCCTTGAATGCGCCCACGGACAGAGAACTAGTGCTTTGCCTTCAAAACAGAGACAAAACGAATCAAAAACTCATCTCCCGCCATGTTACACGTGTTTTGATCTTTGTGAGAGACACAATTTAATTTGCAAGGAAAGAAACTCGTTTATCATATAGAAACATTCTCGTCTATTTAAAATTAAAACGAACACATTTTTAAATAACTTCTCTCATTGGTTTTTTTTTTTTTTTTTAAATTTTTATTATAAACACTGTTGACGTGTTAAAAGTTAAAACCTTTTGGACAAATTGTTTGTGTCTAATTAATCTAAATGTTAAGACAAATTAATGACCCACTCTTTTTCTGTCAGCACTTTTTAAATGTAAATTTTCTAAATCAAAATATTCTAATATTTGAAAAGTTTGCTAAAGCAATAAGAAATCAAACTTAATAAATAATTTAAAAAACAGTTTTTAAAAAGTTCCAATCAAAATCCAGGACATTTAAAATCGTTTTGACGAAATGAGTGTCCAAAATTAAACAGTTATTATTATTTGGGGTTTAGACATGGAAAAGGGACTTTGGCAAAGAGAGCGAGAGACACGGAGAAATGAGCTCAACATTTAGAGAGACAAGAAGAAAGGAATTACACAGAGAAAGAGACAAGGAGAAAGGAGCTAGATAAAGATAGAGACACACACACAAGGAAATTAGCTAGACAGAGAGGCATGTAGAAAGGAGCTAGATAAAGAGAGAGAGAGAGAGAGAGAGTGAGGCACACAGAGAAATTAGCTAGACAAAGAGAGAAGCATGTAGAAAGGAGCTAGATAAAGAGAGAGAGAGAGAGAGAGAGAGCGAGTGAGGCACACAGAGAAATTAGCTAGACAAAGAGAGAGGCATGTAGAAAGGAGCTAGATAGAGAGAGAGAGAGAGAGAGAGAGAGAGCGAGTGAGGCACACAGATAAAATAGCTAGACAAAGAGAGAGGCATGTAGAAAGGAGCTAGATAAAGAGAGAGAGAGAGAGAGAGAGCGAGTGAGGCACACAGAGAAATTAGAGAGACAAAGAGAGAGGCATGTAGAAAGGAGCTAGATAAAGAGAGAGAGAGAGAGAGCGAGTGAGGCACACAGAGAAATTAGCTAGACAAAGAGAGAGGCATGTAGAAAGGAGCTAGATAAAGAGAGAGAGAGAGAGAGAGAGAGAGAGAGAGCGAGTGAGGCACACAGAGAAATTAGCTAGACAAAGAGAGAGGCATGTAGAAAGGAGCTAGATAAAGAGAGAGAGAGAGCGAGTGAGGCACACAGAGAAATTAGCTAGACAAAGAGAGAGGCATGTAGAAAGGAGCTAGATAAAGAGAGAGAGAGAGAGAGCGAGTGAGGCACACAGAGAAATTAGCTAGACAAAGAGAGAGGCATGTAGAAAGGAGCTAGATAGATAGATAGAGAGAGAGAGAGAGTGAGGCACACAGAGAAATTAGCTAGACAAAGAGAGAGGCATGTAGAAAGGAGCTAGATAAAGAGAGAGAGAGAGCGAGTGAGGCACACAGAGAAATTAGCTAGACAAAGAGAGAGGCATGTAGAAAGGAGCTATAAAGAGAGAGAGAGAGAGAGAGAGAGAGAGCGAGTGAGGCACACAGAGAAATTAGCTATATAATAGACAAAGAGAGAGGCATGTAGAAAAAAGCTAGATAGAGAGAGAGATAGGGAGAGGGAGTGAGACACACAAAGAAATTGTCAAGACAAATAAAGACGTGGGAAAGGATCTCAACAGATAGAGAGGCACAAATATAGGAACTATGCAAAGAGAGTGAGAGACGTGGAGAAATGAATAACATATAAAGAGACACGAAGAAAGTAGCTAGACAGAGAGAGACGTGGACAAATGAACTCAGCAGACAGAGAGACATGAAGAAAGATACTAGGCAAAGAGAGTGACAGGCGGAGAAATGAACAACATATAGAGTAGAGAGAGACAAGAAGAAAGTAGTTGGAGAAAGGAACTCAACAGATAGAGAGACTGGAAGGAAAGAGCTAGATGAAGAGAGGGGTGGAGATAGGTGATAGACAGAGAGTTAGAGGCATGAAGAATGAAGCTCAACAGAGATAGTGAAGACATGGACCTCAATGTAGAGAGAGGATATAGAGGTATGAGCTCAAAAGAGAGAGAGAGAGAGTGAGAGATACAGACATGGAGATTGGAGCTTGACAAAGAGAGTGAGAGACATGGAAAGAAGTGCAGCTGAGGAGAATGGCTCACAACAGAGATACATTTATAGAATGCAACACTAAGGGGAAATAGTGAGAGACACGGAGACAGGAGCTCAACAGAGATAGTGAGAGACACGGAGAAAGGAGCTCAACAGAGATAGTGAAGACATGGAGAAAGGAGCTCAACAGAGATAGTGAAAACATGGAGAAAGGAGCTCAACAGAGATAGTGAGAGACATGGAGAAAGGAGCTCAACAGAAATAGTGGAGACATGGACCTCAATGTAGAGAGAGGATAAAGAGGTATAAGCTCAAAAGAGAGAGTGAGAGATACAGACATGGAGATTGGAGCTTGACAAAGAGAGTGAGAGACATGGAAAGAAGTGGAGCTGAGATGAATGGCTCACAACAGAGATACATTTATAGAATGCAACACTAAGGGGAAATAGTGAGAGACACGGAGACAGGAGCTCAACAGAGATAGTGAGAGACACGGAGAAAGGAGCTCAACAGAAATAGTGGAGACATGGACCTCAATGTAGAGAGAGGATAAAGAGGTATAAGCTCAAAAGAGAGAGTGAGAGATACAGACATGGAGATTGGAGCTTGACAAAGAGAGTGAGAGACATGGAAAGAAGTGGAGCTGAGATGAATGGCTCACAACAGAGATACATTTATAGAATGCAACACTAAGGGGAAATAGTGAGAGACACGGAGACAGGAGCTCAACAGAGATAGTGAGAGACACGGAGAAAGGAGCTCAACAGAAATAGTGGAGACATGGACCTCAATGTAGAGAGAGGATAAAGAGGTATAAGCTCAAAAGAGAGAGTGAGAGATACAGACATGGAGATTGGAGCTTGACAAAGAGAGTGAGAGACATGGAAAGAAGTGCAGCTGAGGAGAATGGCTCACAACAGAGATACATTTATAGAATGCAACACTAAGGGGAAATAAGAAGATATTTTTTATATTTTTTATTGTTATTTCAATGTGTCAAAAAGTCAACAATTTACATTGTTGGGGGGTACACACCATACATGCAGCAAATAAACAAACTATGTTCAGTAGTTACTCCCCTTATTTAAAGGCAAAAACAATGCAGGTCACAAACGTGTCCCATTTATTTTTAACTCCAAGCATGTTTAACAATTTAAAATAGCTTACATTCACTCCAAGGTTCATTCTATCATGGCCAGCAAGCAATATGAATTTCATTTGACAAATGATTTTTTTGTTGTTTAATTTATAAAAATATCTGTCCGACACATCGCAATAGACACAGATAAACTACTTGTAAACACAGATAAAGCAGTGTGCGTCCTTACCCCAGGCCCAGCATGTTATCTAATAATCTATAAGAGATATTTGTAGTAGACATTTATGTTTCTAACCAGTACCAGAAGCCAGCATGACAGATTGCTGAAGTTACAAACATTTAAAACAATTACTTTGTTGTTTGTTTGGTTGTTTTTGTTCAGGTTTCAAGAAGCTTCCAATTTTGTCAGTATTTTTAACAGGATTTTGCATTGTATCATGTTTACAACAAATTTTGCCCAGAACATCAAAAGTCACCATTCTATTTTTGTTACTTTGGTTAACATCTGTCCTATATTGAGCATGTTTAATGGTGTTGCTAGGATTTAAACCCAAGCTGTCAGTAAACATTTCTTGATTCTTTCCATCTGTGCAACCCAGAGGCCCGAAACAAAAATAACTTGACCAATGTTAAAATTGATTCTATACTGAATTTAAGTTAACCTGAAACTTGGTTAACTACTCCCGGTTAGATGGATAAGTATTGGGCACACCCGAAACTTGGGTGGTTAACTACTCCCGGTTAGATGGATAAGTATTGGGCACACCAGAAACTTGGTTAACTACTCCCGGTTAGATGGATAAGTATTGGGCTCACCAGAAACTTGGTTAACTACTTCCGGTTAGATGGATAAGTATTGGGCTCACCAGAAACTTGGTTAACTACTTCCGGTTAGATGGATAAGTATTGGGCTCACCAGAAACTTGGTTAACTACTTCCGGTTAGATGAATAAGTATTGGGCTCACCAGAAACTTGGTTAACTACTTCCGGTTAGATGGATAAGTATTGGGCTCACCAGAAACTTGGTTAACTACTTCCGGTTAGATGGATAAGTATTGGGCTCACCAGAAACTTGGTTAACTACTTCCGGTTAGATGGATAAGTATTGGGCTCACCAGAAACTTGGTTAACTACTTCCGGTTAGATGGATAAGTATTGGGCTCACCAGAAACTTGGTTAACTACTTCCGGTTAGATGGATAAGTATTGGGCTCACCAGAAACTTGGTTAACTACTTCCGGTTAGATGGATAAGTATTGGGCTCACCAGAAACTTGGTTAACTACTTCCGGTTAGATGGATAAGTATTGGGCTCACCAGAAACTTGGTTAACTACTTCCGGTTAGATGGATAAGTATTGGGCTCACCAGAAACTTGGTTAACTACTTCCGGTTAGATGGATAAGTATTGGGCTCACCAGAAACTTGGTTAACTACTTCCGGTTAGATGGATAAGTATTGGGCTCACCAGAAACTTGGTTAACTACTTCCGGTTAGATGGATAAGTATTGGGCTCACCAGAAACTTGGTTAACTACTTCCGGTTAGATGGATAAGTATTGGGCTCACCAGAAACTTGGTTAACTACTTCCGGTTAGATGGATAAGTATTGGGCTCACCAGAAACTTGGTTAACTACTTCCGGTTAGATGGATAAGTATTGGGCTCACCAGAAACTTGGTTAACTACTTCCGGTTAGATGGATAAGTATTGGGCTCACCAGAAACTTGGTTAACTACTTCCGGTTAGATGGATAAGTATTGGGCTCACCAGAAACTTGGTTAACTACTTCCGGTTAGATGGATAAGTATTGGGCTCACCAGAAACTTGGTTAACTACTTCCGGTTAGATGGATAAGTATTGGGCTCACCAGAAACTTGGTTAACTACTTCCGGTTAGATGGATAAGTATTGGGCTCACCAGAAACTTGGTTAACTACTTCCGGTTAGATGGATAAGTATTGGGCTCACCAGAAACTTGGTTAACTACTCCCGGTTAGATGGATAAGTATTGGGCTCACCAGAAACTTGGTTAACTACTTCCGGTTAGATGGATAAGTATTTGGTATAAAGTTCAAAACACTTTTATTAAAATGTATTCATAGACAAAGAAAAGCAACAAAAAAAAGTTCAGGAACAAAATAATTTTAAACAGCAAATTAAAAAACTTTAATGGTCTGGAAAAATAGAACTAAAAGGAGCAAGTCCAAATATTATTTTTACACATTTACAATAAAACTTTATTGATGAGTTACTTGATAAGGATATGTTTTTAATCATTAAAAGGAAATACACAGCATAAGTCAGAGATGATTATTGGAAAAGAATAGAAACTTTAAGATGACAACAAGCATGAACCAAGTGAGTCGGGAGGGATTAAGTGAGTCAGTCATCTTATATATTTATTACATAGGATACACATACTATTTATAGAACTCTGAGTGCAATATGCAGAAATCTTTAGTTTTTCAGGTAACATAGAACACAGAGAGTTGTTAGCTTTTTTTTGTAAAAAAAAAATATAATTGCATTTAGACATTGTTTGTTATAATTTGTCCATAAACACTCCATTAAAAATCTTTAACGCTGAAGTGCTGTAATCTTAAAAGATGGGATTCAGAAATCCAACAGATGGAAGTACCTGGCACAAGTAATCTATTACAAAATAAGAAGTAAGCTTATTATGTTTAAGTCCAGATGATGTCTCGTCCAAACCTCATCATGTCTTGGGGACTCCATCTAAACGTCTCTTTTTAACATCTGTAACAAGTATATCAGAAAAACAAGTTAATTTGTTACTATTAGGAACACACTGTGCTGGATGCAATGCTGCATTAAAAACATTTCAATAGGCTGTAAACTGTGAACCAATAAATCTGCAGTGGGATTCAGTTATCATATTACATTTTCAGTAACTTCATCTTGTTATTAAAATGAAATGGTGTCAGGGTAAGGCTTACCCAAGTTTGATGAGCTACAATGTGGACTGATGCCACTCGTTTCACCTTGGTGGGAGGAGACTGTCTGATCTATGGCTGACTGAGCTGCCAGGTCAAACGTTTGAGTCCAAATTTCTATTTCGTCTGGACAGAAAAATCACAATTTTTCTTTTTTTTTTAAAATAAAAATATTGACGTCTAACTGCTTGGATTACAAAATATAATTTGTTTCACCTTGAAATAATCATTGAATAACATAGAACAGCGGTTCTCAACCTGTGGATCGCGACCCTTTCATAGGGGTCGCCTTGGACTATCGGAAAACACATATACCCTACAGTTATGACGTAGCAACGAAAATAATTTTGTGGTTGGGGGTCGCCATAACATGAGGAAATATATTATAGGGTCGCGGCATTATAAAGGTTGAGAACCACTGACATAGAATAACCAACTCCCATGACATCCTTTAATAATCTCGCACAGGCAAGTCAGGATTACAGATTAGCCGTTTCTGTACTCATCACAAGCTCTTAAAAATATCTAAAAGTTTTTCATTGTCTTGCATTTTTTGTGTGAAAAATAATATATTATTGTCCTTTTGATAGGGCCGATTCATAGATTATTAATGTTAAAACGTCACAATGAAGAAAATTCATGAGACAGCTTACCGTAATTATCTTCCCCAATCAACGCTTCAGTCTTTTGTGGACCAGAGGTTGGTTCCTGTTTGTCTGTCATCACCTTAGGTTCCTGTTTCTCTGTGAATATCATGGAAATAATGGAACACACAACTATAATACAACATCATAATCACTTGCCTGTTATAAAAAGTCTGCTTAGCAAAAGGATCCAAGAATTCAGGATAATTCAGCTACGTTAAAAAAAATTTGAATGCTACAAATTTAAATAATTTTTATTTAAATATTCGAAAGCACAACTATAAAAAGATATTGGAAATATAATTAGATGGGATTTCAAATTTACTAAAAGATATATTAATATTGAATATTGATAACAAAAATTTTGTATGAAATTAAACAAAACACAACTTCTATCTGGGCAGAATATTGAAATTCAGAACATATTTTTTTTAATTTTTGAAAGAGTAAAGAAAAAATAAAATGTCTATCTGCATATCACCCCTGCTATTAAGATTTAGAAAAAACAGCTTATCACATTGTTTCTCAGGTTTTACCAATGGCTGCTTGGAAAGCTCTCTTTTTTTGCTCCACTTTCATCAGTCTTTCTCTTCTTGCTTTATCAACATCTTCTGGAGTGCTTTAATAAAGATTCTCTATTAGAACACTAAATGATATGTTACACACACAAATAATTTGCAATCAATGTGTTTTCATTTAGATTTATTTAATACATATCACAGCATGCACTTGGCCAACACCAAGTTAGATAGTTGACTTGGGGCTATCGACAAAAATCCTTACGTTAAAATATTTATAACTTTTAAAATAATTTTTATTTTATGTATTGGCAGTATGTCAATTTGCACTTGGTCCATTCTGATTTTTCTGTGCTCTACAAACAAGGCTCAGCATCGTACTGCTGGTTCATGAATTCATGACTTTTTGCATTATAACAGCACAATCTCAAGCATGATCTTAGATTTTAAAAATTTCATTTCATGAGTCAGTTTGTTTAAAAAATATCCTGTGCCATTCCTATTTCAAAAGGTCATGTCACATACGAGGCAGGGTGTGCCACAATACATATAGAATGCAAAAGAAGCTAAGTTTTAACATAAAAACACATTGATTTTTAAAATTTGATTACATGATTTATTACAAGATAAAATGAATGATGCCAATCTATGTTTTTAATTGCTTCAGATCAATTCCGTATTGCTTTACTTGAAACGAGCAAATATTCAACTGAAGCCCAAGACAGAGAGCCAAATTACTCCCTCTGCTCAAGAAACATCTTGAGCAGGAAAAGGCTAAAATCCAAAATGAATTAAATTTAATTAATTTTACAAATATAACTAGAAATTTTGAAATAATAATCACCTGTGGCAGGATTTGATTGGAGATTCAGCAGTTGTCAGACAGTTTGTAGAAGTTGATGGCCTTGAATCTTCTGTACAATTCTGATTTTTCTTTGAAGCAGATAAATTAGTGAGTGATAACTTCATTTCAGACCCACTGACAATAGGAATTGTTTCTGTGCTGCTTGACATTTCAGGCATTTCTATATCTATGATCTGATTCTCAACTAAGGACACAAAATTAAAAAATTAAAGTCCATAAAGCTGTAAACAAAAAATATTTTTCTTTGTTTGTGAAGAGTTAATTTAATTTGTTTTTTACCAACATTTACTATCTTCACAACTATACCTTTAATCTCATTGCAGCGAGTTTCCTTAAAATTACAACTTTGGAATCTGCCGCAAGAGTTTGCATTTTTTTTTCGTCTTGAATTTAAAATCATTTGATCCTCAATCTCATGTTTCATTTCATTAACATTGTAGGGTTCTGGTGGCTGAGGATTTCAAGCATTGAATTAGAATAGCTGCTTTTGTAATGGATGAGAAAAGATACAAAAAGACTCTTATATTGATCCAAATAAATGGAAATGGTTTGAATACATTGTACATACTCATTTTCAGCACAAAGATAAATATTCTTACCAACACAACACTTTCAGACAAGAAAATTTTATCACAAGACATCTAAACTATTTCTCAAGTGCAAAAATCACCCATCATTTACCATACAACTTTACTGCCTTACTGACAATATTATTTAAACAATATAATAATGTATCAACATAATTAAAGGAATTAGTAAGTTTAAAATCATAGTTTAATCCATCCATTTATAAAAAATAATTTATGCTGACATCATTTTTTCTCAATTTTATTTTTCTTTTGCTTTAAACCATTTTAATCAATGTCTCCAGTTCTAATGACAGTGTTGCTGTAAGACCACAGACTTTCCTGTTGCCTCCTGCAGGGTTTGAGACCTTCCTTAAACACAAGATATGACACATAAAGGCAGCTTAATAAATGTTTGGAATATTAATCATTCAGTCCATTCAGATTTGACACACAATCTTATATTTTGCTAAGCTGAGTCAGAAAAAGTAGTTTGAACAAACTTACAGGTTTAGGGGCTCTGTTTATACATTTAAGGTAATCTTTGTCCCCCAAGCAGTTACCCAAACAATTACCAAAACTTCTGAAAAAGAAATATTTTCCAGGTTTTTAAAGAAATAATAACCTACAGAAAATGGATTTAAATTTATTGTTGTTATTATTTTGAATTTGTTCCAGTGCTCATTTGTACTCAGGAACATTTTTTTTAACTAGAGTTTAATTTAAAATTCTTTTAAAAAGGGCTAAATATGGAAATGCTTCAAAAACTTTTTAAAAATTACATTAAAATCAATTATTGCCCAATGCATGTGTAACATGTAACACAAGATATTGTGGTGCGTATATCTTATTAAGGAATGGAAAGTGAAATATTTAATGTTTGGAGCTACCCCTCAAGAAATCAACAAAATTAAAAGAATAATTCGTTTTCTCGGTGTAATCTAATAAGCAGAGTAATTTTAAAGATGAGCACAAGTAAAAATCAAAATTTTCCACACATAAAAATAAATCTGGTACTTAGATAAGGTATTGATATATATAAGACTTTTTAATGATTCTTTTTCTAGCTATGGTTTGGCTTTAATTTTTAACAATGTTTTATTTTTTTTAAAAACAATTTTTAAAACCCTCATGATTACAGCAGCTGTAAATGTGTTTCATCCCCAGATTAAAACAACACTGCCTTTGTTTCTTTAGATTGCTGGTACACATATTTAAATTTAATTATAAGGTAAAAATATCCCAATGAAACATTGACTGCTTTCTTGTTTTGCAATATATTAAGAAATCTCAAACATAATTTAAATACATCACAAGAAACACACATAAAATTACTTAAATATTTTAAAAAAATGTTAATTGAAATCTGAATTCTTACTTTAAGGCCCTCTTTAGGCCATCTGTAACAGCTTCTTTTTTTGCCTTTTCAAGTGACAAAGCCTTGGATTTCATTCCTTCACTAACTCCATAACCAATGTCTTCATGAAAGACTCCATCCTTAAAAAACAAAGTTATTACATCACAACAAAGACATTTTATTTTTTAAAATTAGAAATATAATTCATCAAAAACTTTTTATATATTTTTTTATTCCAACATATTTTATGCATATTATTTTAGACACGCTCATGTGCTCATGTCGGTCTTAGAACTTAATTTTATTAAATTTAATTCCTCGAGCTTTTAATTTTCATTTCTTTTTCTTAGGGTTACATTACCTTTAATTGAACTTTGACAAGTGCACTCACACCAACATAATATTTTCCATTTATGTGATCAACAAAGTCTGAAAAAAATTGTATTAAAATTTTAAAAAAATATTATTTTTATATTTAATTGTTTTAAATGATTTGCTCATAGAAATATCAGTTTGTCTTTTATTAAATCAGAAAGATTTTCACCAAATAGTTAAACAAAGTATATTTTATAATAGATTTCTTAACATTTAAATCTAAAATGATTGTTTACAAAGAATTTCAAAAAGGATTTATAAAGAGAGATGGGGAGGGGTGTGTGCTTTCACAAGATTATTTAGAAAATACAATTTAAAGAAAATTTAAAAAAAAAAATTAATCTCACTGCACTGTAAACTCATTATATTTTGCAAGATTTTAAAATGCATTATTACTGACAGACAGATAAACTTAATGTTTAGTATTAAGCATTGAAAATTTAGTGTTTTTTCACAATAGAAAATTAAAAGAGCAGTCTTGAATGAGACTGTTCAAATAAATTTAATAAAATCTTTGAAAATTATATCCAGGATGATAAAATACCAAAACCATGCTTTACACAGACATTAAATTCACCCATTATGTATAAATTGATCTTAGAATTTATATGAGGCTTGCTGAACTTATTCTCAACACTGTATACAAAACTTAAGCCACTGCATGGTGAAATCAAAGATCTTATGTATGTTAAAAGCACATTATATTTAATATGTTTATAATTACATTTTAAATGCATTGCATAGATGGCTGAATAAATTGAAAAAATAAAATAATTGTTACTTCTAGCCTTAATAAGTTACAGAAACGAACTCTAATTTAATTGTAAATATACCCATCTGATTGGGACTAAAGTAAACAAAAAACTTACCTACAGTTTGCTGAGAGACACTGTGTGACCATCCATTGAAACCAAATGTTTCATTTGCTATGTTTATCAGTTTCCATCCTTCAATATAAGCAAGCTAAAAACATTTGTGTTCAAAGAAAGTACTATAACACTGATTTGAAAAAATTAGTCAGATCTGTTGTTTTATTTTCTTCATATCTAATATTTTAAATGAGAATAGAAATGTTTACATTTTTTTGTCTTCAAATAAGTAATATGCATTTTTTGTGAGAATACAAAGCTGATAAAATTGCATATTAAAATCCCTGGCAAAAACAATATATTAATGTCCATGGAAAACGATGCAATTTTTTTAAAGATTATTGTACTGATATGTGGTAATGGTATTTTGTTTGCAGACTAATAAATATAAGAAAACTAATAGAAAAAATAAAATAGTTTAAGTATAGTAAATGAACAGCTTCTTAATTCACACACTGGAATATCCCCCTTTAAGAAAAGATTAAGGTGTCTTTTTCCACTTGTTTTAATAATTCATTAAATAGAAATTTTAACAACTACCTTAAGACCTGCAGCCCCAACTCTCTGGCTAATAAATTCTGGTCCAAGCCTTTGCCGCAAGGCTTTTTGTACAGCAGCTTCCTCCTCTTCACTAAATTCAATCTGAGAGAAACATTTTAGAGAAGAAAAATGAATCAATTGTGCTCATAAATCACTCTCATTCAGGGGTTGCTAGAGTGTTTGGTGCCCGGGGACAAGAATAATTTTTTTACGAGACAGGGTTAAAAATTAATATTCAGTTTTACGATAAAAAAATTAAGATAAATAAAAAACATTTTCGGTTGTTATTATTAGCTCCTTTATATGCCTGGTGGTAAACGGACAGAGAAATGTGATTGGCTGGGGACCATCCATAAATATATTACATGGGCACTGTGAAGGGAAAGGGTTGGTGTTGACTTGGAAGCCTATGGGTGTGCATGGGAGGGGAAAGGGGTTTAAATATTTTTAAAGGCTATAAATAACACCCCATGTTTCGTAATTATTGTTATAATGTTGCTTTGTGTTTTCACAATAAACTCGCTAGATACATCAACTTTAATGTTTAGCATAATCGCCTAAGTGACATCATTTCTTTTTTCATCATTAAAATACAATTAAAACCCATTCTGGCACGCCAAACTAGTCTGGAGACTGAGGACATCTATCTCCCTCCCCCCCCCCCCCCTTTTTTGCCTGATTAATCTGGATCATGAGAAATGCAAAATAAAATGTGAAAAAAATAAAAACAATGGACTCTTTTCAAAAAACTAGAAGATTTGGCATAGGCCTATCATCCCAAACCTATAAATATGCTAGTTATAAAATTTCAAAGCTTGATAAAGATTGGGCTCGCAACAAATGAAAACAAAAGTAATGAAAAACTTGATAAATTAAATAAATCACTAAATTACTAAAAAACAATTTAACAATAACACTGAATAATTTGTACTTTATACCATCTCTGAATAATCCTCTACTGCATGTGGGGAAGAAATAGGCAGAGGGATGGGGGATCAGCCCTAATTATACTTTCCATAGCAAATAAATGTCAACTTGATTTTTTTTTTTTAATTATGTTTTTTTTATAGCTTTAAATGAAATAAATATTTAGAGGTTTCATCACCTATAGTTTACCTGACCGAATTTTGTAGGACAATATTTCATGTCATTGTTCATCTTTTTCATTTATCTTGCTCAAAGATAAAACCTGTAAAAAAATATAAATTTAAATATAACGATGTTCATTTATAATATTAATATAAATTTTATAAACTTACTTTGAAATAATTGGAATGAAGCCTCCACCCTCCAGCCAGGGATGAATACAATTTTTAAATCTTCTAATATAAATTGTATCCAAATTAGTGAGTTAAATTTGAATAAAACATGTTTTTTTTTTATATAGGCCTATTATGTACAACACAAGCCTACTTACTTGTTAAGCATTTTATTAGCCCATGTAAATGTACAGTACTGAAGGAACAAAGTTATCATAGGTTGCTTTTATAATTTAGAGTTAATACCGTGCCTGCCATTTTTTAACGATTTAGTTTGGACTTTGGAGAAAGTTTTATAATAAAAAATGAGACCTTTTAAAATTTTAAGACAAATAATTTGGTATAAATAACTCTGTAAAGGTGTAGGTAGGGGCGTGGGTTTAGCCAAGAGAGTTGTCCCACTTTAAGAGCAGTGATATCCCTTTGGGGAATCCCAACCCTGGACTTAGGGGTGCATAGACCAATAGTTGGACATGAACTATTTGTATGATAACTTTCCCATTCTTCATTGAGCATTATTTGTGTCATACACTAAATCTGACGATCGGTACATTTAATCTTAAATATATTAAAATGAAAATTCTCATTTGTTTTTATTAAGATTCAACTTGCAAGGTTCAAAAGAAATTTAAAAAAAACAAAAAACAACTCATCCTTCCTGATACTCCAAGATGAACACTAAAAAAGATGACCGCATTGTTAAAAGTGCTGTATTTTGATTAGTTGAAAAAAGCAGTACCTGTATGGTAATCATTTCTATCATGTAAACAATGCATGGGACATTTCAACATCATTTTCTGGGGAGGGGATATCCTCACTTTCAAGAGAAAAAAAATGATAAAGAAAAAAACTTTATCAAATAAATGCAGAGCTAAAAATCAAAATATTTTAAATACAGAACTATGTTCGGTAGTTGACCTGGGGAACCCCTATGACCTATAAAATGTGGAAGACACCGCTGGCCTTGTCTTTATGTACATCTTAAATTTATACAATACATGTGATAACTTACACCCAGTTACCAAAATATTAGACACTATGATTCTATAATTATGCTAATTTGGTGACAATGAGACTTAGACTACCACTTAAATATTTACTTGACTATCGGAATTTTCAGTCAATGCTTAAATAACTTTAAATAAGCCCTATCTTGTTAGGGTGAATTCTCAAAATATTTCAAAAAATATAAATGCAATAGTTGAATTGAGCCAATGAATCATTTACAAAAACACCAAGATCAAATTTCTAGCTCAAGTGGTTCAATAGTTATGAAATTTTTAGTGTGGATCCCAAGTCACTTTTTTTTAACGGTACCATAGAGTTTTCCTCCACATTTTGTCATCCATATTTCAGCTCATCACTTTCACCCATATTTCTTGCTTATTTCTCCTATAAAAATTTCATATTTACAGGATTTTTTGAAGATATTATAAATGAATAAAAGAAAGTATAAAATAAGCTTTAGAATTTTCTAATTTAAATAATAATTTTAAACATGAAATAATATTTTTTCCAATTTAAATTCAATAAACTGCATTTTTATAGAGAAAAAAAATAATCACAACTTATTAAATGTTAAAGATACAAATCTCAAATTTAGTGCGGTGTTGCAACTTATTAATTTAAAAAGTAAACAATTATTTGTATTTATAAAAGGGAAAAAAAAACTATGACATTATCAGTGATTCTCACACTGCTAAAATCAAAGCGTAAACCCTTCTCATGAAATGTTAACGCTGCATAACTTTATCCTTATTTTTAGTTCATAAGTTATAAATTTTAGATATGCTTATAAATGACATAATAAATTTAAGAACTTTTTTTTAGAATGTTTTTTGTGTGTTTTTTTAAGTTAATGATTAGTAAAGGTGACCTATTTTTAACTTCAATTTTCAAAGCTCAAACTTCGAAAAAAAGTTCAAACAAATTCGCAATTGATACTGAAGTCCCTAACACTCTTAATAAATATCTGCTCTTTTTATTTAGCTTGAGCACCCAGTTATTGATTGATTTGCTTTTTTCATGTCATAATTTATTATAATCATTCTGTACCATACTTACAAGCCAGAACGAAAGCTCTGGGAAAAAAAGACGAAAAACCACGTTTGGTATTCCCTATTAATCATGGGTGAGTTGCATGCAATGCACAAAAAACAGAGACAACCAACATATTTATTAACTATAAAAGTTATCAAAAAAGGCAACATTTGCACAAAGATAATTATAGGAGCCAAAATGATCAATAAATTGATCGTGGGCCCTTAAGATATAGAAGAAGAAGACATCAGATCTAGTGGGCACAAATTCGAATCTCACAAACTAAGCAGCAAAAAAGGTTAGTGAGGTTGTGAAACTGACGTCTGGCTTTCAAGGTATCATCAATGTTTGGTCTGGCATTGCTGCATCCAAACAAGAGAAATGCTTTCAAATGTTCATCACTCCATCTTGTTTAATGTGTGGATTTCACATTCTTCATTTTTGAAAATGTTTGCTCACAGACATAAGTTGTACCAAATCTTACGTTTGCCCTGAGAGGTGAAAGGCGTTGGAGTTGATTTGGGAGATTTTGTGTTCGGTTCTAATTTTCATAATGATAGTGGTGATGGTAATATTGTTGCTTTGTGTGTTTCGTCTGCAAAACAAAGTGACAGCAGATTGCAGTATAAACGTCGGTCATCTATTTTTAGAAGATAACTTTTTTTTACACCAGCCTAACTCGATCCTACTAGGCACTGCAATGCAAATAATATTGTATTCATTATATATACTGTATACTGCATGTTAATATATTAACTATCAAGTTACTGTATTGTACGATTTTGAGACAATGTTTGTACGATTTTAGGAATTCAAGGGTTAACAAGTCTGCAATTAACAAGAAAATTTAGATGCAATAATTTAAAATTAAAAATAGTAATTTCAGGCGCATATCAGCCAGTAGGTAATTGCAGTGTGAAGATTTTAAACATAACATTTAAACTGTATCACAACATCCATGTTCCATGCATCTTATCAAGCAAGTTCAAGTACTATCAGCAGGCCTAGTAAACACATCGCGGGCCGGATCCCTGGACTAGGCTGACTCACTCACTCAGTGACACCTCTTAGGACAGTAAATTACATTAGTTGTCAATTTTAAGGTAGTCAATAATTGTCATATAATGAGTATTATTATGATCAGTATGACTTAAACTACTTGATTTTAATTATTGACTTTATTACTTTCTTAACTTTAAAGTTTATCTTATAAATCAAGTTTTAATTTTAATATTTTTAACCTTTATAGAACCTGTATATCTTCAAAAACTGGTTTCTAAAAATGTATCCATACAGAACCTGCACTCTTTACCACAGTCCTTACTGAGAGTTCCCAGTGTGGATGGACACAGAAAGAAGTCATACTGGGTCTGTTCTTTTGAAGCTATTTTTGTGCCTAAATTGTGGAACAGTTTGCCTCAATCTTTGAGGGACATTGAAAATGATAAAAAGTCATTTTAGAACCATTTAAAGACTTTTTTCTTGAAATAGATTTTAGGACATCAGAGTGCTGTGAGCATGCATGCTAAAATACCATGGACACAAGCGCTATAAAAGTACTAAATCATAATCAAAATAAAGGAAAATACACTAAGTACGAATCATAACCTTTACTTTTAGATTAAGTAAAGTAGGCTTAAATTAAATTAAATGGCAACTAAACAATTTCATCATTAGATTTAATCGTTCAGACGCAGAAAATAATACGATTGTATTATTTAACTGGCATTTCTTTTGTTATGACCATGAGCCGCTGGTAGCGCCAATGTTTGTATCATAGTAAATCGCGTCAAATATTTATATTATTCCATTTCCGTTTTGGTTCAAGATTTTAATTTACCGACAGGGTTTTTATATTTGAACCGCATGCTATCGGCAGAATGTTTTAAAAAACGAGCTGTTAATTAAATTTCTTCCATCAACAAGGATCAATGTAGATAAAAAATGATTTTGAGTAATTTTCATTTATATATACATGCATTCAGTTTTATAGGAAAAAAACTACTTACCTTTTTATATAAGTATAAGAATTGATTTAAAATTTAATACATGCATACAATTAGTTTGTTCGCTGACGAAGGCTTTCTGCCGACACGTACGCTGTTTTGTTGCGTGTATTTTTTCAGGTTTAACCCTACTCTGTTTTAATCATTTTATTTCATACAATTAGTTCACTTTCAATTTAAAAAAAAAAAAACAAGTTAATTTTTTTCTTTGTCAGTAATGATTTTTCCAATTTTTCTGTTCACATTTTTCTTAACATACCCTCAAATAAAATTTTTCAAAATACAAATTCCTGATGTTATTTTAAAGTTGTATTGTTCATTGTGTGTGTATATTACATTGAGAAGGTATCCTGAAAATTTGGTAGCATTATCTTTTAAAATAAAAAAGTTGTAGGCAAAAAAAGAAGGCAAAAATTTGGAAAGTGGGTCACTTAAATAAAAACTCACACAAAAAAATCATAACTTCGTTTCTATAAAAGCTAGAAAGATGACATTGGGTAAATTATTAGAGATCGTCCCGCGATGGCCGCCATCTTGGTTGACACAACCAGTTAATCCTGTCACTAATGTATCCCTAAATCGATCCCTATGCCTAAACTGAACCCTAAATCGATCCCTATGCCCAACCTCAACCCTAAATCGATCCCTCAACCTAACCTAAACCCTAATTCACTGCAACTATAATAAACACGCACATGACGTCACAGGATGATCTCTAAGAATTAGCCGGGTCTTTTTTGCAAAGCTTATAGCTAGCCCTTTAAAATGATATTGATATATCATTTATGGCAAGACGACAATATTGAAAATTTCTGTCAAAGTCAATGAGTCAAAGTACCTAATTTCCAAGCTAGTTACAAAATTGGGCTTTGTAATTAATTGTTCATAGTGGCAACAAGTGACAGGGTTCCTAAAGGCTAAAGGCATATAAGTGTTTGGAAGTGTAAATATTATTCAGTTTCTGTGTCATTTGGTTAATTATTCTTATTTTCTTATACTATTTTTGGAAACCACCAAATAAAATCATTTAAAATGCTTTAAATTTTAAATGATTTGGACCTTTAGAAATTTTAATTTATACGTATTACGGTAAGTTGGCAATTAAGAAAACTGCAGCTGAATTTGAACATACACCTAAAATGTGACCGAGTTTTAATTTGGCGACAGCGGGTTTTTCAATCTGGTAGTTAATCAGTTAATGATGAAGATATTTTTTTTTATACCACACCTACAGAACTACTAAGTCAATGGTTGTATTGCATGCACTCAATTGGTGTTTATAGCTTATGTTTTAGAGCTTTGTACAGTAGTAAACAGCAGTTATCCCTCTCTTTGACATTTAATACTGATATCTCGGTCAGAAGAGTTCTAGAAATAAAGGTTAGAACAACCCGGAAATAGGGGTCGCTAATCCAGATATAAGAGTCTGACTGTCTGAGACTGTGGTCTGTGGAGGTTGATGGATGCAAATGTAATTAAGGAGTGTTGCTAATGGCACTATCTTGATGCTTTGGATCAGTTGTTGCATATCCAATAAAAGTAACTGATAATAGGTATACCCTGAAAATATAGCCCACTTAAGCAGTTTATTCCCTAATCTGTAATCTCAATCATGTAAATCTTGCACACTCGTTATTACAGTCTAAGCTAAGGCAGGAGACCTATTAAAGTTTATACTGAACTGAAATAGTATCGGCCTAACCTGAGTAGCTGTGAGTGTTGAGTCTAGCACTACCACAGCACACACCAGGACTTGAATATTTGAATGTTAAATCTTAGGTTTAAGACTATGTATAAGTTATTAAGTTTGTATTACTCAACTTTAGACAGGTAGATAATGTAATATATTATTTATATATTATATGTAACTATTAATTAGAGGGCGAGGGGGCTCACCAGGTCTAGAGTCAGAGAAAAAGTTCAGTTAGTTTTATTATCTTATGACCCTTAGTCTTAGTACTGGCCAGTGCTAGTACCCATTCCATCAGTATAGGCATACGAAGTGGTTATGTTTCCTGTGTTACAGTATCAATCAATAAAGGTGCCTCATTATCGGGGTGACTGGGTGGTCGAATGGTACAATCCGACCTAAGCCTCATGCTGATGGTCTTGAGTTCAATTCCAGCCAACGGCAAGCAATGAATACAGAATGAACCAAAGACAGCTATAATAATTTCGAAGTGTCTACATGTCCGGCGAGCCGCACATGTAGTGCGCAAGATATACGTCCGGCGGCTTGTCACGTGACCGCCGGACATGGCTGGACGACTAGTAGTTTTTATAATTCCAAACGAAGCACGGTTTAGTACAGCTTGTGTGGTCTTGTGGTAGAGTGGTAGCTTGACGAAAGGAAGGTCTGAGGATCTATACCGGAGATAGGGTCGTTTTTTTTCTACCCATTTTAATTAAAAATATTTTTTATATATTTATATTAACATGTTCCTCAGCAACAGTAGTTTCATGAGAAGTTTTTACATATTGTAGCAATTGAAATAATTTAAAATGAAATCTTTTACTTTAACTTTTATTGGTTGCCTACGCCTACTCCACACTGGCCCTTAATTTATTTTATGGATTACTGGTACAAAAACTCAAATAACAAACTAAACAAAAATGTTTACAAGCCACTTTCACTTAAGTTTTTTTTTCTATTATTTGCATTCAAGATACTCAGTACATTACTTGGTAGAGAAATAGATTTTAAAATTAACAATAGTTTTGAATTATTCGCAGTCACGTGACAAGGCTGACCGACAAGATATCTCTCGCCACTTTGTTACGGCGGTCATGTGACTTGGTCGCCGGACACATAGTGCGGGAGATAGACGTCCGGCGCGTAATAATTTTTTTTGTTTTGGCTAAAAAATGTTAAAACGTGATAAGAATTAACTTGACCAATGTAATGTTAATAATGTTATTTTTATAATTATCAAATATATGTTTGTGTTAACATATATTTTGTGTTGTTGACTAATTTTGTGGCAGATAAAATCATGTTTCTCTGGTACAGTAATAAATATAATATATAATCATGGGTTGAGAGTAGCAGTAAAAACATCGCTGTAGGGGCAGGGGTTCTGTAGAGGGGGCACTGTAAGTAATACTTTCACACAGTTATTGTTTTGCATGGAAGCTGAAAAACTATTACATTTACGTCATAAAAAAAAAATCATAAATGATATAATTTTTTAAAAAATAAATAGAATGTATTTCCTGAATTAGTCAGTAAAACCAACCACATGGTCATAGCAACATATAAAAACCTAATCAATCAAAATACATAACTAGACTTAGACCGCGTTAGGCTTAGACTCTAAGAAATGTAGACTTTGACTTATACTTATAAATTATAATTATAATATTTAAGATGCAAGCAATAATACTAATAATAGCACTAATACTATTGCTATCATCAATTTCAATATTAAGTAAAATTAATTCCATTAAAATTTTTCTTTCAACACATCCAAAGTTCTAGTTCAAAACAACCCGTCATGAAGCTAATTACGCATAATACTTTTTTTTTAAAATTGCCAAACAAGCGATTGATAAACCTTATTTTGGCTAAATTCCCAGCCGACTGCGTATAACCCTGAGAGTTATACGCAGTCGGCTGTGAATAACCCTCAGGGTTATGCGCAGTCGACTGCGTATAACTCTCAGGGTTATGCGCAGTCGACTGCGTATAACGCTTCCCATAGGCATAGGCTAGGAGACTGTAGTCAGTCAAGTAAAGAATATTATTAAAATTAATTTTAAAAGCCTAATTGTTGGAATTTAGCATATTATTTTTAGATTAGGGGTCTGACTATTTCTAACTGAAATTTTTTCATTTAAATTTATTTAGGTCTAAACCTAATGCATGTATAGTAATAGTAATACGAAGTGGTTATGCGCAGCCGACTGCGTATAAACCTGAGAGTTGTACGCAGTCGGCAAGTCACGTGAGGTCTATATTCTTCCTGTGTTACAGTATCGATCGATATAGGTGCTTCGTTATCAGGGTGACTGGGTGGTCCAATGGTATAAACTGAGCAAACCTCAAGTTGGTGGTCTGAGTTCAATTCCAACCAAAGGCCAGCCGTGAATATGTGTTAATTGTTATATTTTTTCTTGAGAATGAAGCAAAAACAGCTAGGCTTATTGTTTTACTTTTGTTTTGGCTAACTTGACCAATGTAATGTTAATAATGTTATTCTTATAATTATCAAATATATGTTTGTGTTGTTAACTAATTTTGTGGCAGATAAAATCATGTTTCTCTGGTACAGTAATAAATATAATCAGGGGTGGAGAGTAGCAGTAAAAAATAGCTGTAGGGGCAGGGGGTTCTGTAGAGGGAGCACTTTAAGTAATACTTTCACACAATACTTTGCATGGAAGCTGAAAACTGTTACATTTAACCTCAAAAAAAAAAAAAATCATAAATGATATAATTTTTAAAAAAATAAATAGAATTTATTTCCTGAATAAGTCAGTAAAACCAACCACATAGCAACATATAAAAACCTAATCAATCAGAATACAGAACTAGACTTAGACCATGTAAATGCCTTTTAAAAAATCATCTTCTTATGCTTAGACTCTAAAAGAAATGTAGACTTAGACTTATAATTATAATATATAAGATACAAGCAATAATGCTAATAATAGCACTAATACTAATACTATTACTATAATTCAATATTAATTAAAATTAATTCAATTAAAATTTTTCATTAAACACATTAAAAGTTATAGTTCAAAACAATCCATAATGCAGCTAATTACGCATAATACTTTAAAAAAATTGCCAAACTAGCGGTAATAAACCTTATTTGGCTAAATTCCCAGCCGACTGCGTATAACCCTGAGAGTTATACGCAGTGGGCTGGGAATAACTCTCAGGGTTATACGCAGAAAAGCCTTACTCTTACTTACACTAACAGCTAATACTGGGCCTATTGTTTAGGCTGTTATTAGCATTTTTATTTTTAGACATACTCCACTAAAGTAGTATGGATACAAGCGCTATATAAATATTCAATTCACTAGCAGTATCTGTATTTGGACTAATGTGTCGTAAAATACCATAGGGTCTAATGGTGGCATATAGGAAGAGAAATTGATTGATGCTTACAAGGGGATGGGAAAGAAATGTGCTGAGCACACTTATACAAAGCTTTTTTGGACATGGTTTCAATATTTTAATGCATGAATTTTAGATCCATCACTGAATAACAATATGATACGATGATTTTGTTTCTTACCAGAATCAACAGTTGTTCACCAAATGCTGGAAGCAAGATGATTAAAATGTTCAGTAAGAATCGATCATCACGGCGAAAAGATAAAAGTCGCGATGGAACGAACCCAACAAACATGGATTCCACACACTCAGGATCAATGAGTCGAACCCAAGCTGAGGCCTTATATAGTAATAACACAAGCCCAGCTCGCAATCCAAATACTGGCCATAGTCCAAGTTATTCTGGAGCATATGGTAATGGCTCAATGGATAGACCACCTAGAGGCAGAGCAATGTCTGATGGTTCTCCGGCAGAATTTTCAATATCATCCCCGCTTGACTTCCCCCTGGAACACTTGCAGTCTTTCAATGCAACCTATGGTTTAAATCCATCACAAAGAACATACATAGATAGTAGATCTGTTCCACGCCACACACCTTTAAAAAGTTTAATAAGCCCAACTCACAGTCGTAGTGTAAGTAGTAGTAGAACAAATGGTCAAACTCAAGTTCACGCTAGAGCTGGTAGTACAAGCAGCTTAGGAAATTCAATGAGAGACAGGTCTTTAGATCGAATAGAAAGGGAGAACGCATATTTAGGTGATACTTCTTTAGACAGACACTTTGAACAGATCCAGTACAGTATGCAAATGGATAATAGGTTAAATCATGACTCGAGGTACAACACAACTGGACGTGATCGTTCCTTAGATCGAGACTATCCCCACATGGGGGCTCGGTCCTTGGAGCGTGATCCTCATTCAATCAGCAGGTCAAGGTCAACAGATCGAGGTGGGGAATATAATTATCCATCAGCAACATTACCCTCAATGCCATTACTGTCACATCCGTCCAACATCCAAACTGACCATTCATCTCATGAGTTTCGAAATTCTCTGGTCTTTGAGATGCAAGTTCAGATATCAGATTTGCACAAAGAGGTAAGTAAAAGTGTATGCAGAATATGCATTTTTAACAATTAATACTTAAATAGCTATGTCTTAAAACATATAAATTAGCTAGCAGTTATAGCAAA